GGCCCTTGATTGTCGCATCGTATTACATCGGGATGATGAGCGGCCTGCTTTCAAAGATTTCTCTCTAGGAACGCAATTTGTTATAATTGAAATTACTATCGTGTCGATGCGACCCTCAGCACCTCCCATTGTGGGCCTACCAATGGACGCCGGGGACCCAATGGCTTCCGGGGCTGATGCACGATGTCCTCGATCACTGATACCACAATTCCTATCCTGTCGTTATTGACTGCCTTGAAACGGTCAGGACTAGGGTCTTTGCCAAAGCGCGCTTCGATTCCGTTCCTATCGTCACTGATAGGAAAACCCCTTGATCGGGCCAGTCTTATCATATACAGTATCCGAGGGTATCTGCTGAGTGAAGAAGATGAACAATTCTTACGGACTGAGAAAGAGAGACGGTCCCTCTCTTGGAATCTTTATAGCGTGGGTGCCGTGTTGAGTTTCAAACCTCTTTTGTTGACGACCTTGTAGGCTTCAAATCTGCACGAATGGCTACGAGCAGCGGGGGCATTGGACAATTTTGAAGGAAATAATGAATGGAAACTGCTTGACGAATCGGACGAATACGATTATACCTTAGTCCGAGATAAACTGGATGATCTAGAGCGGGCGTTAAGTCATAAGGATTTCGGGGCCATCATACATAATATTCGGACGTCGCTTGGTCGTGACCTCGCCAACATGACAAACCCGGAGCTCTACAAACATACGTATATTGGTACCAAAAATCTAATAGATTTGTACGTCACTACCGCCACGAATGCAGTCTCAATGGTTTTGGACATTGCGGAAAATCTAGAGTTCGGCATCGAAGAGTCCCGGCATCTCTTGGAGCAATTGCACGCCACGCGCCAGGGCTTCGGACGGACTGCGTTGCTGCTGTCGGGTGGCGCAACGTTTGGAATGAACCATACAGGAGTTCTCAAGACTCTTTGGCAGATGAGGCTTCTGCCACGGGTAATCTCGGGTTCCTCTGCAGGAAGCATCGTCGCCGGTGTCATCTGTGCGCATCTGGACAGTGAAATGCCAAAGATCTTTCTGTCCTTTGGCAGTGGTGACTTTTCTGTGTTCGAATCTGGCGATGAAGTGGAAAATATAGGACGCCGATTACACAGGTTTCTTGCATCTGGGTCTTTCTTTGACGTTGGCCACCTGAAAAAGGTCATGCGGAGTTTGCTAGGCAACGTAACTTTCCTCGAAGCATATAATCGGACGAGGAGGGTTTTGAACATTACCGTTTCTCACGCAAATCCTCACGAGCTTCCTCGGTTGCTGAATTATATCACTTCCCCTAATGTGACGATTTGGTCGGCAATGTAAGTAGGGCTCACTTCGACCGTTAACAAGTAGTAACTAACAGTCCCAGCGTTACATCCTGCTCTGCTCCGATGATGTTTGCAACCTCTCAGCTAATGGCAAAGGATCCGACGACCGGAGAAGTACGAGAATGGGGCGATTCACTGGTTCAATGGATCGATGGATCGGTTGACAGTGATCTGCCAATGACTAGACTTGCGGAAATGTTCAATGTCAACCATTTCATTGTCTCGCAAGTTAATCCTCATGTGATGCCCTTCGTTCCCCCGGAAGAAGCATTGTTATTTGCAGAACTTAGCAAACGCCGGCAAAGGTCTGAGGACAGTTCGCTGGACTTTGCCAAAGAACTTGTCAAGGAGGAAATTACGAGCAAAGCCAGAATGCTGGCTGAGGCCGGGATACTTCCCAACGCGCTGAGGAAATTTGCTTCGGTCATGAGTCAAGAGTATTATGGGGATATCAATATTTTCCCGGAAATCACTTATGAGGTATTTCCCAGCATGCTGAGGAATCCCACGCCCGATTTCATGTTGCGGGCCTGTCTCAGTGGTGAGCGCGCCACATGGCCGAAGCTAGGGCGGATCAGGAACCACTGTGCAGTCGAGTTTGCTTTGGACGATGCGGTGATGATAATGCGTGAGAAAATTGCCGCGGCTGCAAGTGAAGCCGATATACCTATGGAGAGGATATCGTCCTACCTTGAGGGGGACATGTTCCTAAGGGAGGCACCGCTGGAGGCTGACCCGGAATTGGTGCAACAAGTTGAGGAGCGCAAGGCTCACGCGCGAGCTCACACGCACGTCAACGCAGGCCATCGACCCGAAAGCGGCAAAAGGGCTCATTTCAGACCAGACAGTCAACGTGCCAGCAGACCCCATGCCCAACATTCTCGTTATAGAACAAAACCATCGAGACCGGCGTTAAAGACAACACAAAGCGTCCCCCGCGATAGAAGCCCGTCTGCTGCTTCCGCATCAAGCCTGAATAGGCCCTCATGGACTAATTGCCGGTCTCTGTCGAGCATGGATTCGAGAATACCAACAAAATCGGAGAAACACAGGGCAACAACCCCCCCCAATCGCCAAGTTTTCATCCAATCACCCATGCTTCCTACTGATCATCAGCACGCCACTCAACCAGCTCACAGAGCAGTTAACTCCAAGCTACCTCTGCAGGGCACTCATCTACCGCACTTCATCATGGCGATTGAAAGACGTACACCTCAGTCGCAAAGTTGCAACCGTGACTATCGCAAACTTCTTCGAAAGAAGCCGAGTGACCCGACGGATTGGTCCAAAAATAATCAAGCCATCAGTTCTGATAGTCATTACTTCTCCTGAGCAAGGATCGGCTGATGCTTTGCTCCAGCGGGATTCATGGGAAAACGCACGGTTTGCGGGCCCAGGTTCCCGGTAAGAAATGTGCTTTGTCGCAAGTTTTATACCATTTGACTTCATGAATTAAAGAGACGCACTTTTCTCAGTTGTGAACAGTTTTGTGCCTTGGTACTATTGTGCATTGTGGGAAGACGGCTGGCTGTCTTCAAGCGCATTCGTTTGCCTAGTTTAGGGAAGCCTATCAAGCCAGACTGCACGCGATAAAAGAAATTATATACGTTGTTTCCCGTGGACATCATGATGGAGTATTGAGAGGCAGAGTGAGTGATCAGACTATCGATCTTTCAACCCCGCGAATCAGAATGTAACGTATAGGCGAGATCACCGGTTCCGACAGTTTGGTCCAAGTGAGACAGGATTTCTGCATTCAGAAATGCGACAGGCAGAAATACACGCATGCCGCGTGAGGAATAGCACTGTATGGAGACTGATAGGCAGGATGGGAGGGACAGTCACGATTGTCATGATCGTCGATGATTCGCGCCGAAAGTGAGAAAGAAACCGAAACAAAGGAATCTGTGGGCGAGGAAATCAATTTTCGCGGGGCGTTATAATGGGCCGGACAATTTGCGGTCTTCTGACCCGATCAACCATGCGAGCACCGCGCAGTATGACTCGTGGGTGAGAAATCCTCGGTGAACAGGGGGGTCATCAGCCCAATCTGTCGAGGCCGGACCGCTGGTCGAAGATAGAGGCGTAATATCTGGAGACTTTCCTTGTCACACCTCCTGCGAGTAGCATTGTCAAGACCGCGGCTTTATTTCTCGTCAACACATCTCGACGAACGCCTCGAGCCCCGTTCAGGCCGCCTCCGCTGATCGAGTCAGTGCCTCCCCAAAACACGGCCCTCGATAACTGCTGCGGAAACCACAGGTTTTGCACATCCTTCCACAGACTCTTGATTAGAGTTACCACCTCGCTGCCTGTGCCATTTTGTCGGATGACGATGCGGGGGGCTCCCTGGCGATGCGAGGCCAAGGACGGGGCTTGGCACGGACTGCAAACCATGACGCCTCAACCGCGCTGTCGGGACCTCGCTCGCGTCGCGCATCCCAGCTGGTATGATGCTGGTATCGGGCCTGTATTTTTGCATCACTCCCGCACTGGAAAGGGGGGTCACAACGGGGGGTGCGTCACAACAGCGGACTGCTCACAGTCACAAGCGGGAGCCTGGAGGACAGCCAACCATGTTCTCAGGGAGGCCGCAGATGGGCCAGGGTGCCAAATGCAGTGAATCAGTCTGCAGAGCAAAAATACAAATCATGCCAGGGTTGGGGTGGGCTTAATACGACATCCCCGGCGCACACCTTTGTCATGAGTTACTCAATCTCCGTCAAGTCAGTTCCCGAGCCGCGGTCCGACGATGCGGCGATCTCTGGTGCTTCTCGCCGACAACACCATGAATGAAGCTGCTGCTGTCCTTGCCGTTGACCACGCCAGCGACTCTGTTCTGCAATCCGGAGTGGGCTTTCTTAAGCGCCAACCCAGCGCCCGGCCCCTGATTGGCTGAGTCTGCGGAGCTGGTTCTCATTCTTGATTGGTTAATGCCAATGACTAATCGCGCGAAACCGCCTGGATCGGGCCAATAAGAACGGGTGCACGGCCCCACCCAAACAATGCGGCGCAAAGCAGGCGCTAAGAGCCCTCCAATCAGACGCCGGCATCAACCTCGTCGTCCGAACTTTGGCGGTGCGCGCTCTCGGTCTCTCACTGCACATGTCCGCCCAACGCCGCCTGTGATGCAGCGCGTCCGCTGAAACATGCAACGCACATCCTTCCAGAGAGCAGAGACGGAGCTCAAGCACATGTGCAGTTCCTGTTTCATTCCGGAGCGCCTCGTGTGATCCCTGGCCAAGCTCCCTGTCGCCGTTGACCAGGATATAAGGGCGGTCTTCCCCCGCTGCCAATCCGGGCGGCTGCCTGCTGGAGGAGGGTCTGAACGGGAAGAGGATAGGAGACACCAGCTCTCGCCAGCAGTCAGAGGCTCGGGTCACGATGCTATAGATTCAGCCCCGTTTACAACGGCCCAGAGAGCGTTGATACTGTATTAGTTGCCCCAACGCCTTCGGGGATATCAGGACTCATATTTTCGCCAGCTAACCCTTAGGAGTAACTCAACTTCTGGACGAAATTCTTTTTTAGTAATCGTAGGCTGACGCGATCTCCTTCGAGTCCTTGGTAACCGGACATCAGATCCCCCGCGGAGCTCCAATAGCCTTGCAGCGCCTCGAATTCGACTAATTGTGGACTGCTTTGTCCACAAGGATCCTCTGAATGATGATGATGACTCCTCGACTCTCGACGCTCTCAATCGCCAATTGGACAATCCCCCTCGCCTCCCGGAACTTAGCCTGCGTCTTGGGGGCCACACCAAAGCTTGTCCCGTTTATTCCTTGACCAGGGCGCCATTATCCTGCCAGACACTCCTGGTCCTCTGCCCGCAAAGCGCTGCAACTCGAAACAGGAATTCCTGCTTGGCCGACATGTTTCCATCCACCCTTCTGGCTGATTGCAGCGTTACAAAGTCAAACACAAATCTCTCAAGCTCCATGCTCCAGGTTGTTGTTCGTGCCGTGGTGCACGGTGTGGTATTCTTAGAGACGCCATTATAACCTTCTATTGCGGCTTGTCTGTGCTCGTGCGACGCTTATCGCCCATCCTCGATGGATGGATTGCCGCATGCTGTGGAACAGACAACCTTCCTGCCCTCAGGCTGGCTACCTGCTCTTCTTTCATTCTTATTCTGAATCATATTGTTCTTGTGTACCACCGCCCTCTTGTCGCGCTTCCGTTCAGCGATTTGTGTGCCTTGCTGTGCAACACCGCCCTCTTTTCCTCTCTTTGACAGACCGTCAGGACTAAGCTTTGATCTTCGGCTTCCGAGATCCGCAAGTCATATTCCGGGGCCCAGCAGCTGTGCCGTCGGGACTCTTTATGAGCAGAGGCCTTCTTAATATGCACCGCCCTGGTCGGCATCGTTGTTTGGACTTGAATCTTTTACTTCGCGTTTCCTTCCATTTTTCTCCATCCGACCTTCCAATCCTTTTGATCAAGAGCGAGATACCCTATAGGGGAGCCCTTGCTATCGCGAACCTAAACTGAGATCTTTACTCTGTGGTTGACGTGGGTGAGGCAATGACAACCTCATGGGTCAAATGCTGTTTCGAGAGGGGCCGGTTGGGCCAAAGGCACCGAAAAGGAACCAAACAACTCGACGAGCGCTACGGAGACATAGCAATTAGCGGGCCCATGGACGGAGGCTGGAACCAAGTACCATCTTATCCCTCCGAAAAACGCTCAACGTCCGTCCCACTATCGCGCAACAGCAGCTCAAAACGCAAGAAGGAGCAACGTCTGGGCGTTGGTCACTTTCATTTCAAGGCGCATTCGGGCACGCAACCATTTATCCGCACTGAAGACACTGACTATGACGAGCGGGCAAGACGATCGCATGACAAGCCACCAGATTTCGTGTACAAACCGGCCAGTGAGGCGTTTTTTAAAGATATGGCAGAAATCGGCCGGTCCAAGTACCCTCCTCCTTCGGCATCGATTGTCGATAAACACCAACGGCAAATATCTGTGCAGAGTACCAGCTCTCTCGAACCGACTTCCCCCGCAGATATCCCTTGCCATCCTTCGTATCAAAGGAACATGCAAGCCAGCCGTGGTCTATCTCCACCCGGACTCTCGACGAACATTTTTCATAAATCGCCCGTGCACACACAGTATGCGCGAGAATGCAGCCCTGCTTTGTCGCATCGATCGATATTCGATGACCACGCTTACGATACGAATGAAGAGGAGCCGGAAAAGCAAGTCCAGAGCCCGCAGCTGTCAATGCCAAAGACCAAGCAAAAGAAATCAAAACGAGTCGTCACGGAGGAACTGGTGCCGTCCACGACAGAACTTTTCGGGTGATTTCGTTTGAAACGGCTAGTCGCTTTCATTTTAAATTTTTCGTTGCAAATTTAGCGATTCTTAAACGGGGTTTTGTTACGTTATTTCAGGATAGGGGTCATGTATTGGGCGATTAGCCTTGGGATGGAGTGAATTGTTTTCATTTATTTATTTTCTTCTAGTTTTGACGCTATGATACCAGGGAGCTGTTACGCACAGATTGGAAAGTGCTTTTGGTCTGGCTGTAGGCCAATATTCCTTTTCCCTCTTTTCTCTTGAATCCTAATAGTTTCTAAAAGGATACTCCAAACACAGTTGCGGACCCGCCGGAATATTCACCGGGCCCATCTTTATTTAGCAGTGAGGTGGTGCATTTTAGAATCATAGACTCAGATATGAGGTTTCCTCTTTCAACTACTAGTAACATGATCATGCTAGACTGTGGAATATCTGGATTGACCGTGCATCCCTCACACATGGTTACTCTACACACCTCGCTTCGCCCAAATCTCGCTGCAAAGCACAGCGCTTAGGGTGTCTGTGGGTTGTTTTCCTTGCCTGTCCACGAGAACGAATGTCCATATTCTCGATAGTATTCCAGTTGGTCTTCTGGAAGGAATTCGGCTCTCATTTCCGGCGTAATGGAAGTTTCCGTGTGAGCAAACACGTTCTCCAGCCATGCCTGGTAGTCCCAGTCGATCCAATCTTTAAAGTTCGCATGCTGATCCCATGCTACATTCCAGCGCAGCAAAGGGGTGATGAATGTGCCGGGAAGACAACGTTGCTCCAGCTCAGGGTTATCCAAACACCATAGGCGAGACATCCAATTGCTTTCAAAATCTATGTGAACAACCCGGCGAATCCTCTCGCGAAGATTGCGATCCCACACCACAAGTGCGTTCCTAGGGTGTAAGTCCGTCAGACGTACATCCCGATGGTATATGGCGGATTCTCCGTCAATCAGAAGCTTCATGATCCGTTTTCGCTCTTCCTGGGTAAAGTCTTTTGGATCGAGGTCTCGCATTGACGAACCTGGAATAAGCTCCATTAGGATGAGCCGAACATACCGACTCGACTGACCGACGGGGAATTCAACTGAGTATGACCCATAGAATGTGGGTATCACCGTGCCTTGAAGGTCAGCGAGTCTGGAGTACGAGGCTGCTTCGGTGGTATAAAATTTATTGACACAGCGAAACGGATCAACACCATCATCATAATGATCAAAGTAGAGAGGATCGTAAAACTTAGCCACCACAGTCGTGACATTTTGCAGGCTTTGGGGGCAGCCAGGAGAGGTCCTGAGGATGTTGACGGCAACTACCTGCACACCCCTCTTCTCACCGGTATGAATCTGGCGTGAGATTTCGAATTCGACAGTAGCATTGCCAGTCGAGCCCTCCCACGGAGGATGTAAAACACAGCGCTTGAGGGGGGACAACTTTACTCTCTCCTCTCTTGCCTCTCGGTCCATTAAACAATCATCTGTGCGCTTTCGAACTGGGGGCGGTGGTTGATGGGCACGAACAGCAAATTTCTGGCCGTTCGTGTATGGCAGAGGTGGCGGTTTCTCATAATACCCGCGTTGGTCAGAGGATAGATACATTATTTTGCAAGCAAAATGTTGACTGAGAAAAACGAGCTGGATGCAGAGACGTTGCAGGGTGACTTAGTAGAGACAGGTTGTGGCAGCTTTATGCGCAGAGGACGAGCTCATAGGAGGAACGATGTGCTTGGAATGCTTTGTCTTTAGGCATCCATGCAGGCTGCAATCGCCCTTTTTCGACTATGAAGAGCCAGGCAATTCACCCAACTAGCCAACTAACTAACTAGCTATTTATAGGCTTGGTTGGTTATTGACCCCAGCGAGCATTTCCAGTTCACCCAGCTTTAACCGCCCAATGATCCCAGGGCAGTTATGCGATTTGGCCCCAGTAAGTTACCTCACTCTCCTGACAGCCAGTCATTCCCTCAAAACCTCCGACAACTGACACTCCTATCGCAGATAATCCCTTTCTCCGGGCGGCAATTCAGGAACTGTTATTCGCTGGTATGGGCCACGATGCATGGAGAAAATCCAAGGGGTTCATAGGATGAGACAACGCTCAACGAGGCAACCATCAGGCTCTGACCTCTGGTCCCTGGAGCACCACATTCAACGCATGCGTCTGAGCACTGACTGGGCCTGAGAACTCGCTTCCAATGATTGGACACCGTGGCTCAAGGCATTCCCCCCATCGCATGGCTCCATTGGGAAACATGGGCACCTCTTCTTCCGACCCAGGATTAGAACGGGTGCCTATTCTCTCGGAGACATGACAGGGCAGCCATGAGAATGTGATTTGTGATGTGCCTGCATGGGCTGCTGCAAAAGCGTTTGATGACGCGCCGTGGCTGTCTTTCGGGCAGCAGAAGACAGTCGCATAGCTCTCTGATGACTATTGCTACGGTCGATTTGCGAGGATAAATGGGCTGGCCATCTTACCTCATAAGCATTCTTTTCAAGAGCAAAACAACTTCTCTTTCAGTTGTCTTTCCTCCAATATAAACAGTGCCTAAGCGTCCGGCCTCCACAGTGTCGATTGTTTTTACAATTTCCTGCTCTGCTTCTTCCGAATCGAACAGTTACACACCGTTGAACCCCTAACCTAACATGGATAACGAAACTATTTCCATCCTTCAATCGTTCCGTCGCCCATTGCCAGACGTTGAAACTGCGGACGTATCGTACAGACATGTCACTAGTGCCGCACCGTCCAACCCGGCACAGGATGCCATTCCTCTGCTTCAACGAGAAAGCAACGAAGAGTTGTTGGGCCTCGCGGCACAGGCCCTTCAGACTCAGTCCAAACAACCGGCCTTACAACAAAATATGCCCTTACACGAAGCCTCTCATTACCTGGGAACAGAGGGGGATATACTACGGATCTCAGCTTTGCAACTTATTCATCCCATCAATGCTGTTCTATCCCTTCTGATTCCCAACGGAGCTAAACTGCTATGCCGGGCTGAAGTAACGTCGCCAGACCAAACTCCACGTACAAACCTCAAGTGGATTTACATTGACCCAAGTGGACAAGACCAAGTGGTGGCGATTTTGGAATACAAAAATACAGGAGTAATCCACTTCGAGAATTGGGCGGGTGCAATCACCCTTCCTGAGAACGCCGTCGAACGCCTTTTGAACGCCAAAGAGCAAATCAATTCGACATTCCTTGTGGGAAACGCGATAATTCTCTCCAAGCAACTTGTGAATTACGAGAGCGTTTGTAGTGATATTGCACTATTTGATTGGAACAACATGATGGTGTTCGACTTTGCGGAGACAAATGAAGATCTCCTTGTCCCCAAGTTTACTTCTGTTGTTTTTGAATCAGACCCCCTTCACTTCCGGTCATTGCTCCTTGGAATGATTGTGCGCAGCCTCAAAAGGCGTGGGATCATCTAAACTCCCAAGGCTCCTCTGTTGGCTGGAAGGAGCACTCTTCATATGCAAAAGACACAACACTAGTTTGATTATGGAAGAGGCGATAGCAGTTCTACTGGTATAGGCCAGTTGTGTGCGGGGAATACGGGCTTCTCTTTCTGTTTGCTTTTTCGGCTATTATACAAAGTATGTTGTGCTGTTCTTGTCTTTAGTTATAACCATCATGTAGCTTTGTCAACTCTTGAAATAGTGTCACATGAAAACAACATCTAGTTATATGACTCAGGGCAGATTAAGTGTAATGCAAGGCTTTGCCGTTTCAGTATGCCATGACTTTCTCACCAAGTTGAGCGTTGTAGCTTTCCAGTGTTCGATCACTTTGGCAGGGCACGATAAGACCAATTTCGGAGTTGATTTTCCTGTCTGGATAAAAGAATCTACCCCCCACAGTTGTCGCATTATTGGTTCAATATCGGTAATACGAGTATTGCAAGATACCGCAAGATGATGGACTGCCCCTGCGTCCGGCATCGGGGAAGGGTATCTTATTGCCATACGGTTTACATCGTCGCAAGGGCCATCATTTTCGACTAGCAAAGCTTCCTCGGCCCCGGAACGTTTGCCTTTGCTAATCAGACTTAAGTCCAGGTGATTGTTGTTTGTTGCTCTTGCTGCAAGGTTGATAGTAGCGTGTTTGCGTTCAAAATCTATGGATTTTTCAAGCGAGAATGGCGGTGGATGTAAAGCATGTAGGGGATTCGACGACGCTCTCGATGGCCCTAGGGAACGCGGATCCCCTTTGCCCGTTTCGATTGATGGTTTAGGGGTAGGACATGAAATTCGAGGCGTGTTGATCGGGTCTCCAAATCGTGCCGCCAAAGGAATTCCAAGGTCTGCATCTCCCGGTTGTTGTACCGAATCCCCGCCAGCGGTGCGCTTCGGTATTCGATCTAGGGGGCCTGTGCTCATCCCTTCAACAAACCGCTCAGGTCTAGGGCCCCCATCATTTTTGCTCCCTTGCGATAAGATCCCTTGTCTTTTCGCGTGTTGTGTCTCGATTGCTGGCAGTGTTCTTTTGACTGGCGAGTTCTTCGAATCAGGACGGGATGACGGAGAAGGTCCCAAGTATAGATATCCGTTTATAGAACTATAATTCGTTTGTGGGTTGACATTATTAACAATAGGTGACGATGAGTCTGGCGATGGTGTCAGGAGACTGGAATTCGAGGCTCGACACCTCTGTGCAGAGCTGCGTTTTGCTAAAGACCATGGATTCGTATTGGGGATTCGCCCCGTGCTCCTATTAGTCCTAGACGTGCTATTACACTCCAGCTGTTGAGCAGTTGGCCCAAATGGGGTTGCGAGTCGAGTCTGTTCCTTATTAAGAGGTTTACTAGGTGTTAAACCTAGAAAAAGATTTTGATCTGGATTATGCAAGTTGTGTGAGGCGCCCATTTGGGAATGAACCTGGTTCTCGCCGCGGGATTGGAGTTTGCCGTATATTCCTTCAAAAAGACCCTCTACCGCCTCAGAAACCAAGGCTTGATTTTCGAACAATACATCATCTTTTGATGGTTCGATATTAACATCATAGCTTCCTTCTGCGCAGAAAATATATAAACATAAGAACGGATTCGCAACCGTGGAAGAGGGAAGACGTTCGAAGGTATATTTGATGTATGATTTATAAATTTTCACTATATCTTTCGCTAGGCCTTTAGCCGGAGACAGCGGTCGGCCATCGACAAATATAAATTGCCCTTTGTTCCCAATTTTCGAAATATCTTTGATTGTTATCAACCCAACTCAAAAAAGGGGCAATTCAATGGCACGTACCGGCGTCTAATTTTGGAAGTATGGCATGAAGTCGGATGCCTGAATGGGATTCATTTTCACGGTTGGGAATCGAGTTATTGACAAGATCCGTTGTTTGACTTAGGCATTGAGCCATCACGTCCACACCGATGATTTTGGAAATTGCATCAGTCACAGATGGGTTTTGCTTTGGAGCGTAAACCCACGCAGAATCCTGCTGGTGCTTTAAGATTTTGAGAGAGAACCTAACATGCACGCGCGACAGAGCATATTCTTGAAGAGTCCTCCTGATTCTCGAAATATTCTGTGTCGAAGATTTCAACATCACTTGCCTGCGGACTGGTAGGTTATTTAGAAAGTTGGATACTCGCACTGAAGTCCCAAGCGGATGAGATACGATCGCTTTGCTATCGCAAAGTCAGGGCTAAGGGCATCTCCTATCCTTACACGGGCAGACACACTTGCCTCAGCAGGTCGCCAGTACGGCTGAATGTCAAGGCCGAGGCAGCGATTTCCCCTAAGCTCCGGGTGGTTATAAGAAGGCAGTCACACATCTCTGCCGTGCTAGCTAGAGCCTGTCCCCGGAATCCTAGCGAGCTACCGCCCACATTTTTCAGATCCTCAAGAGACCTGATTTTACTGGTATGATTTCTCTTGCAGACGAGGTCTCGATCCTCGAGGGGTATGCCCAGGCCGTTATCCTTAACTTGAATTGTATCAAGGGTATTAGAGGACAATTCAATAGAGACGATGGTGGCGTTTGCATCCAGTGCATTGTCAACGAGTTCTTTGACTACACAGCAAGGGTCATAGAGTGCAGAGGCGGATCCGATGGCCTTGGCTGCGGCCTCGTCGAGCGCAGCAATGGGCATTTTAGTAGCCTTAACTCAACAATGCAGAGGCCACAGCCTGGTACAGAAAGCATCGCATGTCCGTTCAATCCTGCAGAAGACGGCTGGAGAGAAGTTCGTCGGTTGATAAAGGAGGTTGAGATTAGGTTAGCATGTGGGCCCTCGGTTCCTTCCCCTTTACCGCATCGGGCATGGCGCCAGGGGATGCTCTTGGCGCCAGTGCCACCATCGGATGCTTGTTCCTGAAAACCTTCAACTCTCCAAATACGCATGGAATGATAACCGCACCGACACAATGCGCGGATTCTCCGTATCTCAGTTAGCTATCCCTGCCGTCTCAATATTGATCGCCTTTCTTTCATACTCTTCCCAGTACCTGTTTCGCCACATCGAACCCGGGCCGCTCTCCAGATCCCAATCCATCAAGTTCAATGCTTTAGTCGCATGCATCTGGATATGTTATGTACGGGCGTGCATAACGAATCCAGGTAGTATTCCAACCAGTTGGAAACCTGCTGCTAGTGAGGCGGACAGTGCCCCTGTCGAAGATGGTGCAGACGTCGCAATGCGTCGTAGGCAAAGATGGTGCCGGAGATGCGACGCGTTTAAACCCCCAAGAGCTCACCATTGCAAAACATGTAAAAAGTGGGACTTTACTGGAAGATTATTCTTCTACGTTCTTTCATTGATAACATTCGAATAGGTGTATACCCAAAATGGACCATCACTGTCCGTGGACGAATAATTGTGTCTCCCATTTTACGTATCCACATTTCCTCCGCTTTGTCTTTTATGCTGTTATCTCAATGATATACCTTGAATATCTTTTGTACGAACGGTTAGCCATTTTATGGGGTAACCGCCATTTACCGAGTGTGAGTAGTTTCAAGGAGCCCAAGTGCGTTGCACAAATACAAAAACATTACACATGGGCTAACGACCTGATGCATTATCTATAAAGTATCTTGGTCCTTCTATCATACAGCTAGGACATTTGCTATCGCTCGCCGGTGTCAACTCGGTTGTTTTGTTCGCCCTTTCCATTTTGCTTTCGCGGACATTGTGGATATTGTTACAAAATCAGACTACAATCGAAGGATGGGAGATTGAAAGACACAGGACTTTGGTGCGGAGAGCTCGTGTGTTTGGGGGCTATCTTGACGGACCAGACGGCACCAAGATTCGGATTCAAAAGCAGGAGTTCCCTTACGATATTGGAATATGGCGGAACATTCAGGATAATATGGGAACTGGTAACGTCAGTAACTTTGAATGAGAATCAACCCTTATATTTGACGCTGATATATATACAATACAGTTTTTCAGCTGGTTTTGGCCGTTCTCTCCATCTCCTCGTCCAGGTACTGGGCTGGAGTTCGAAGTGAATGGGTTTGATGGTGAGCTTATATTAGGCTGGATTTAAGGTATTGCGTTTGTGCTGATTTTGGTTGACATCATTATACAGACCCTTCTCTTTCGTGGCCACCGCCGGATCCAGATCGAATGTATCGACATGTATTGCCCAATGGAAAGTGCCAAAACGACATGACTCTTGGCCAGCAAAACTTTGACCAGGACGATATTGATGCGTTTCGACGACGGCAAGAGTTAGACTACCAACGTTACCAAACTGAAGCTGGCGTTATGCGTCGAAAGCCTTTTCACCAGAGATATACGGACAACATAAATACTGAATATATTTCAGATCCAAGCAACTCTGTTAAAGGTTATTATTCGTCGGATAGTGGCGAGGAAGGCTGGCGGAACTCAGATGGAGACCGTTTACGTGATTTTGGAGTCGACGAGGAAGCAGAATTTTATGACGAAGATGATGTTCCGTTGGCGGTTTTGATTGAACGACGAAAAAACAAGAAAGACCTCGCAGCTCGTACCGAACCCGCAGCAAAATCCTCCACAAAACCCTCTGACCCTAATTCTCACCTTTGGGAGTAGGCCTGTGGGTTTGTATTTGTATCGGTCCCTTTCTCCCCATTAGTGCAAACGCCGAATCAACTTTTGGGACTTCAAAACTTGAACCATTGTGTCGGAAGGAGAACGAAACCCCAGTGCGTTCATATGCATTACTCCACGAAAAACACCGTCGTCCACCGACTCTCTCGCATTATAACCACAGCCATTTACCGAAAACACTGATCGTGACTCGGTTAAATTGGATTTCCGGTTTTGAATCGATAGGCTAGCTCGCAATACGAGCGCATATAAAAATATCCGCCTTACACGTTACTTAGCGATGCTCAGGAGGGTAGGCCGAACTCAACCGATTCTATTATCGTAGTCAAAGGCTTGCTCAAATCTGAACTGCGTACTCTGCACTACAAGTGTCTCGATTGAATGTATTCTTGTCAACAAGCGATCTTCCTGCCTAACCTAGAAGAGGCAAGCTTGGCTACATACAAATAAGGATGAAAATCACAAAGGAAATTACTAAAAGGACGAAAAGGCAAGCTTTAACGTTTCGAGAACCGCATGAACGCTCAAAGTATCCTCTGTAGACGCTTTATGGGGTATAAGACTCGTGGTCAATAAAACTTGAGAGAAAACGAAAAATCTGGCAAGGCTTTCGTAACTTCGTTAGATGCGACAGTATTCAATTGCAGAATAAGAAAAAAACAACGTCAGCCGCTTGTAGCTTTTGCAATGATGCAAACGGGGCAAAGGGACGGGGAGAACATAAATATCCGAATGTCCAAAAATCAAACACAAAGAGAAGAAACATCAAAATTCTAAAATATTAGCGCCTTCAACCTAGCTTTTAACTCCGCAACATCTTCTGCGTCAACGGACTCAATTTCTCCATCGCTTTTGAGGGATAAAGACATGTATTTGCTGTCACCACCCTGGGCGCCAACAGTAACCCATACAAACTTTCCTCCCGCGGGTGCTGCCCACGACTTTTCCTGAGGACCGAACCAGAACATATCTGAAGAGTTGTGTGACATATCAAGATTACCCGCTGACAAAGACGTCGGGTATGTTGATACGGTGGCAAGGGTTTGCGACAGGGACGTCTGAAAAGAGGAGGCTGGAGGCGATGACGAGGAGGACCTGGAGAGTATTCTCCCTCCCAGCCTACCGTGTGTAATCCAACTCTCGAGGACCTCGATGATAAAGTCCATTTTTTCACGGAACGAATTGGCCTCAAGGATTTCGTAAAACTTGTACTTTCCCGTAGTAGAGTTGACTTCCCGCTCATCAAACAGTGAAGAGAAGTAGTTGCTTGCAGAGTCAGTAATGACTGCTCGAGTGTCAAAGCCATTGGGATGCATTTTGCCCCTTGCCCTTAAGTATCGCGCTGCTGATGGTGCAAGATGGAAAAAATCTATTTGGCAACAAATAGGGGTATCAGACAATCTGCCCGGTTGTCGTTCGGGCAGTGATATGACCAGCTTAGTGTGATCTGGGAAATTGAACTACAATCCAAGTTAGTAAACCCTCTTTTTGCGGCCTGTGAGTTTTGTGTGGAGGCATACTTGAAAAGCTCCATCCCCAAATCCCCAAATTCCAACATTTCCCAACCGTTGATAGAACCTCACATACTGGCCTATTGAACCATCTGGATCATTCTCCGCTGGGGTCTGTTCCTGAACATCTTTTCCCAATGATCCTATCATATATTTTCCAAACTGATCGACTAGCTTCACCCGTTTTATCTTTTCCGTATCGTTTGTGCGAATTTTCCTCGCCAATTCGCAAGCGGAATGCTTATTTGTGTCAAAAGCTTTGGCTTCAACCAGCACACGCTTTACTCCTCCCCCTTGACTACGTCGACGAGGGTCAATATCAATATTCTCGTAAAACTCAACTGCTCGCCCATCTCTAGGAACTAGCTGATCCACTTCTGAGTATGTTTTTTCAGCTGAGCCCTCCTTGGCTCGAGCTCTGAGTCGTATATGTCTTTCCCCATCTCTGACAACAACGCAACTAGCTGAACTGCCCCGATCAGCTTTGAATACACAACCAACACTGCCATCATCCAATACGTAGCCAATGCCGTATCGGTTAGTGTAATCTACCCATTTCATTACGTATGAATGCGGTTTGCTGGGTGCCACCTTTTGTTGCCGACGGCGTGTTCTCGTGAGCGTCCCCGTGGCCTGAGAACGAGAACGGCAAAGATCAGAGAAGTAGGTTTTCAAATCACCCATAACTTCACGGATACTTGTTCCGGGCATAATTTCGGCGTCCTCATCAGGGCGGATCAAGGGCCTCAGCCCAAACGTTGATTTCGATCTGGTACTGACGCTTGATGCACTTGACTTTGTAACGTTATCACTTGTACTTCGGGATCTCCTCTCGGCCAGATTCTCGTAGCTTGAGGTAGATAACTTGGGTTGTAGTTTAGGTAGCTTTCCTTCACTTTTAATTCGTGGTTTGTCCTCGACTCCACGAACAGGCAGGCTCTCATGTTGTGTCTGGGCTGATACAATAGTTGTAGATCGTATACTGGATTTCGGATCAAAAGACATCGTTCCTTCCACCATAGTTGCAAGGTGTTGTCTTGATTGAGCTCTAGTTCTACCAGCCATCAAACCAGTCGGTACAGACGTAGATTTAGACAAAGTACTTGAGGGCACTGTACGATCGCGAAGAGAGCTATTATACCCGGATACTTTGCCGCGAATAGGCCGCTCGCTCAATAAATTCTGGACTACTGCTGCTGTAGGGGCTCCTTCTCGGTACACTTCGCTCTTGAGTTGGTGAAGTCCACTTTGGGTATTGCGGATGCGACTTTCTCTTGCTGGCTGGCGTGGTGGTAACGCTTGCTGTCGCAAAAGCGCAGCATGGCTTCTAGGTTGCGCTTCCTTTCGCCTCAGCTGCGCAGCCAATGCTAGTTGCGATCGTGCTAAAGTAGCAGCTTCCACTTTTGACGGTATATTTCGAATAGGATCTTCGTCCTCAACTGGAGATAGTCTGGTTTCAGTCTCAGGGCGTAATTCCTGTAGGCTCCAGTCCGCATCATCTGGAATACAGCAATAAACCTGATCCCTTGGTAGAGGGATGACTGGTTGCATGCCCAGCTCTTCTTCCACAGCACACTCGGCAAACGCAGATTTTGAGCAGCGTTTACCAACAGGTCTTCGCATGACACCGGTGTCTTTCTTGCCGACGCCACATTCAGTGTAAAAAAGGTCCTTGCAAATGGCGTACCGATCTTCCATGTTGCTGACGTGTGATACCTTTGAAATATACCTGGGCCCGTATTCAAGTCCATGGCCGATTTCAGGTTTGTCCCCGCGAGGATCTTGATTTCTGATCCAGTTTGGTTTCGAAAACCGACACTCGGGATTGAGCTCACAAGGTATACAGCCAGGATACATATCAAAGAAATCATGGTCCACAATTTGATCGGGCTCTGGGCGTTCGTCCTCATCCAAGCTCAAACAGGCACTGAGGAGGTCCTTTGCTTCTGCGGGAATGTAGTTTGCGCACTCAGAGTCCTTTGGCCAGGTGTATGACAGATTTCTAACCTTTTTATAAATTTCTTCCTGTGTTTTTGATTGGAACGGTGGGAAGCCTGTAAGCATAGCAAAACTGACCTATATCAGCGTGGCCTAGTCATCACAGAGCTGTGAATGTGAACTTACAAGATAACTCCCAATGACCAAATATCTACTTTCTGGGTGTGGCCGCCCTTATTTTTATCCAACACCTCTGGGGCAATGTAATTTGGCGTTCCACACAGTGTTTTCCGTCGCTTTTCGTCTTTTTCACTCAGGATGATCGCGGCCAAGCCAAAGTCTCCAACTTTGATATCCATATTACGGTCCAGAAACAAGTTTCCCATTTTCAAATCTCGGTGGGCAACATTGCGCTTGTGTAGATATTTAACAGCACCGCAGAGTTGAACCATGAATCTCCGAACTTCGGGGAGGCTTAAACTTCTCCGCTTTTTGACCATTTCCATTACGGAACCGTTAGGGCACATCTCAAGGACCACATACGTATTCGACTCGAAAAGCGAATGCACGGTAGAACGTCACGATATTCCGGATGCCGCATTTTCGAATGTATTTGGGAGCTCGGTGCGGAACTGTTTGAAACATCCCAATTAGTGAGCTAGCCCGGCATTTAACACACTTTGTCAAAACAATACCTTTTCGGCCATTTTGCGCTGTGGCATTTCTGACTTAACAACCTTCATCGCAAAGAGACGACCGTTGCGACTCAACTTTCCCTCGTAACAAACCGCAAATCCTCCTCTTCCCAGGAAGTTCCCAGTGACGTATTGTTCGCCATGCTTTCCGGGTTCATAAACTATGGCTGGTGGTGGTGGGGCATGGTTCTTCGATGGGGGGGGTTTTGAGGCTGGCAGCTCGTTTGAAACTGGCTTCTTAACTAGGTCCGGCTTTGGTTTCGGAAGGATGTTCGTAGAGCGAGGGGACAGCGCCGCCATTATCACAACAATCAGTGCTCAGTAAAATCATAGATTTCAAACAGTGAGCAGAATCTTTAGGCTTCGTCAAGTATTGACCAGCGGGGAGGAGCAAGCGCCTCCAAGTATCTGTGCTTATGAGCCGCGACTGTCACAACCGCATAGGGATTCTACCAGCGCCATGTTAGCCTCCGTCCTAGGGCCAGCGGTAGAGATGCGATGCTCACCTGAGGATAAGAGAAAGTCAGTATCTGCACTGCGAGACGAAATAGATGAGCCGACGTACAAACCGTCTTTCTGCGCACCGAAAGAAGCAAGAAGTCCCTCGAGACGATCCTTTTCTCAAAGCGGAAGTTTGTCAACATTGGCCCGGCAACGGGATTTTAGTCCCGCCGCGCCAAGCCATTTAGCTCCGGGTGATTATGTCATCATCGGATCGGAATTCAGGCATCAGAATTCAGAATCCGATTCAGTAGGCTGGAGGTGGAGGAATCCAGTTGCAATCCGGTTGATGAAGCTGCGGCCGATGAGTGCGTGACAGAACGAAAAAGCTTGCTTCGACTCTTTGCTTTCTTCCGCCTTTTGCGCGCTGAAGCCCATGCACGGAGAATGCCGTTGATCAACCATGGCAAGCATCACGCTCAAAATATCCTCCCTCATTATCCGCACGCTTTCAAAGCCTATTGCTGTAAGCTATCAATTGAAAATGGGTTATCGCCTGATAAACAGCTGATTTGGTGCTCTTTAGAACCAAATCAAAGCGCAAGCGCGAGAACATGAACGCTTTCGTCGCATCTGTGTATCTTTCGCCCAGACCATTCACCGGGTCGATATGCGACTGCGACTCGGCCTACTCCAGAATAGCGCTCAACTAGAGAAACAAGCCGCTCGTGAGGCAGCGGAAGTTGCGAAAAAACGCAAAAGCCAAGTCCCTACGGTGAAGACCGAATCGCAGCTGAAAGCGGATGAGGCAACAATCGCAAAGGAGAAAGAAAAGGCTCTGGATCCTCCTAAACCACGGATACGACCGCTTTCTGAGGCTAAAGCGATTGACACGGGAGCAAATTTCATAAGCGAGACGTTCCTATTCATGGTTGCCGGAAGCCTTATCGTGTTTGAGTCATGGAGATCCCGTAGAAAGGCTACGTCGAGAAGGGAGGACGTAGCAGAACGTTTGAGCGATCTGGAGGAATCTGAAAGGGCCGCCAGACAAGGCCTCATTACCTTGGAAAAAGAAGTTTTGCGGTTACGAGCTCAGCTGGACAAGATACCCCCAAAAAAATTACAACGGATCCTCCCAGAGGCAATTCGGAACGTCGACGAAGAGCCGGAAGAGCCCAATCCCCAAAGTTTACTGGACAAAATTTACAGCAAATTCCAGTGGCTTCGGGATACCACCCAAAAGCAAGAACCACAGAGTTTGGGGACGGACACTGCCATTCAACCATCTACCCAAACCTCTCCAACTCTTGGAGTCACCAAGTGACTTTCTTTTTACCGCGTTTCCCTCTGAGGCACTGGCACAATCAGTATATATCTGGTCTCAATATATGGTCTTCGGTCGCCATACTCGTTGCAAATACCCACTCACCGTGCGATGACCGCAAACTTTCAGGAATATGTTCTCATTTTCTGGTTCCAAGATACCCATCATTCACTATTGGATATTATTGCTCTACTCAAACGAAAGGGAAGGGAAAATTGTATAAGATTCATATAGCTCTCATGCATGTGTTCTACTTCTTTCCTATTCAGGAAGGCATCATTCATCCGAACCCAACCTGTTCACCACCATTGTCCTACGAACCACCGAGCCGTCTGCCGTCTCTATGAGAATCATAACTTTCCGGTCTGCCTCAGCGATTTCGAATCACAGACGGGCATGTTTTGTACGTCATTAAGGAAACGCCCATTGTGGCGGGTGGTTGGACCACTCCTCGCCACTGCGGAAGCTTGGAAACTACAAGGTACCCTCGCCTCAACCGCTTGTCTACTTCCCCGGTGCTAACCAGTCTATAGAAGCTAAATTAAACACTCACGACTTCGAGTTGCCCTTGAATATTAGTGAGGAAGGGGTTCAGAGAAACCTCTGTGTCATTGTCATGACCTTTTCCTCAATTGCGGATCCAAACGAAGATGAGACGGTCATCCGTCTGGAGCGGTTCGCAGCTTTGAATGGTGCCAGTGATCTTGCTATAGCCCTTTTGCTTTCAGAGGAAAATCAGGCAGGGCTTTATGGCCACGAGGTAGATCTAACCGCCGTCCTACTACTACAGAAGCTGTAGGTGCATTGAATTCCGGTGGGAAACGGCCTGAAGATGTAAATTAGCTAATCCAGTTCTTACATCGCTAGCATTCTCGAGCGATTAACCACATATCTTCCGATAGTTCCTGTTCAATGCCCTGAGTTACTTGTATCAGCGCTGCAGGCATATATCAAGGACATATCACGCGAAGTCCGAACGCCATCTCCATTATTGGCTCCGGCAGACTTAGTTCCTTATTGCACAACCACAGCTCCATACCGCCTTCTAGACCAGCATTCCGTGAACATAATCAGTGACTTGTTTCCAACGATCCAGCAAATGTGTTTGGGAGCAAGAACAGCCGCCGGACGTAGACTATTGGCCGAATACTTTGATTCGCCCATTGCGGATAGTATTTTGTCCTTCTGGGGAGGTACCTCAGATGAGACTTGAGCCACGAATCATGTAGACAAAGTGGTAGTTACTGCTATTTCAAATCACAAACGAATTTCTAGCAATCTCATTTGGCCATTTCTAGCTTTTCAGGGGAAAAGGCAAAAGGGGAGCGGATAATCCTCGGACCGTGCCCAAGCGCAAAGCCACAGTTTGTTGTGGCGCAACACCAGCGCCAAGCCCGGTTCCACATGGCTGCATCATCGGTGTTACGTAATCTGCCGCGCCGCGAAAGGTGTTCGAGGCAGAGGGGGAGGGTTGGACAGTGCAAAAGAGCCGATGCTGTCTTGATCCAAGTGCTTTTTTTCCACTTCAGTGTTTTCTACAGTTTTAACTAGCAGATATACTTGGGAGAATCCGCTGCAAATAGCAGTTGCTGGGCCAAGCAGCGTTACAGTCGTCGACCAAACAGTTGAGCACTTCGCCGACTGCGCCCAATGAGCCATGGTAGGCCTGACCTCTCCGCTTTGATATCAAGGCTTTGCGCGGAGATACATTCAATTTTAATGCTGATCTGGCTTTCTAATAGGGTCAATCAAAGCGTCCGTTCAAAAATAAGGAAGAGAGAAAGGGCAGAGGCCTAGGGCGATCGAGGCACGATGAATCTGGCGCTGGCGGGAGGCCGCAAGTCAAAAAGGCCGTTTTTGAAAGCAGTAAAAAAAAGGAAATCGGTGTCTCGGATCTTACATTGCTCAGCAAAGTTTCCAATGAAGCCATCAATGAGAACTTGAAGAAGCGGTTCGAACACGGGGAGATTTACGTACGTCATTATCCAAAGCCCATTTGAGTGCGGTTCTCACTCGTTATCTAGACATACATTGGACATGTGCTAGTTTCCGTGAATCCTTTCCGAGATCGTAAGCGCCCCAGTAACGTGTTTGGATTCGCCTCAAACTAACGTCTTGCAGTGGGAATCTATACGGACCAGGTCCTAGAGTCATACAGGGGGAAAAACCGGCTCGAAGTTCCCCCGCACGTATTCGCCGTGGCCGAAGCCGGATACTATAACATGAAAGCATATAAAGAAAACCAATGTGTTATTATTTCTGGAGAATCTGGAGCGGGAAAGACGGAGGCAGCAAAGCGCCTCATGCAATACATTGCGAATGTGTCCGGTGGCACCGATTCTTCCATTCAACATACAAAACAAATGGTACTCGCGACAAACCCACTTCTAGAGTCTTTTGGCAATGCAAAAACGCTACGAAATAACAACTCCTCGCGATTCGGAAAGTATCTAGAGCTACAATTCAACTCCGTCGGAGAGCCGGTCGGCGCGACTATCACAAATTATCTTCTTGAGAAGTCTAGAGTTGTAGGCCAGATCAAAAATGAACGGAATTTTCATATATTTTACCAGTTTACGAAAGCAGCCCCTCAATCTTATAGAGGTATACTACCCTTACCCTCAGAATGCGCAGGATCGGATCTGATGTGTTATAGATGCCTTTGGTATTCAACAACCCCAGTCGTATGTATATACCAGTCGATCTCAATGCCTTGACGTCGCTGGAATCGATGATGCTGCCGATTTCAATGACACGCTAGAGGCTATGAAGATCATTGGTCTTCCCCAAGCAGAACAAGATAATATTTTCCGCACCCTGTCTGCAATACTGTGGCTGGGGAATATGCAATTTGAGGAGGACGACCACTCCAATGCTTCAATTACCGACCAGTCTGTTATTGACTTCGTTGCTTACCTTTTAGAAGTGGATTCTGAAGGGGTTAAAAAGGCGCTCACGCAGAGAGTTGTCGAAACAGCACGAGGTGGGCGAAGGGGTTCGATCTATGAGGTTCCTTTGAACACTGTCCAGGCGACTGCAGTGCGTGATGCCCTAGCAAAGGCTTTGTATTTCAATTTATTCGACTGGATTGTTCAGCGAGTCAATGCATCCTTGAACGCACGAGGTTCTATTACAAACACGATTGGCATCCTGGACATTTACGGATTCGAGATTTTTGAACGAAACTCGTTCGAGCAGCTCTGCATTAACTATGTTAATGAAAAGCTACAACAAATCTTTATCCAATTAACATTAAAAACGGAACAAGAAGAATACGCTCGAGAACAAATTAAATGGACGCCCATCAAGTATTTCGATAATAAAGCTCTCCGCCACCTGATCGAGGATAAGAGACCACCGGGGGTGTTTGCAGCACTCAATGACGCCTGCGCGACTGCACATGCTGACTCGGCGGCCGCAGACCAGACTTTCGTTGGAAGGCTAAACTTCTTATCCCAGAATCCGAATTTTGAATCGCGGCAAGGTCAATTCATTGTCAAACACTATGCCGGCGATGTCGCTTATGCGGTGGAGGGAATGACAGACAAGAACAAGGATCAGCTTCTGAAAGACTTATTAAACCTTGTCAACTCGAGCAGCAACAGCTTCTTACATACCCTGTTCCCGAACCAAGTGAATCAAGACGATAAGCGGCGACCGCCAACTGCTGGCGATAAGATCAAGGCTTCTGCTAATGATCTCGTTACCACTCTCGCGAAAGCGCAGCCGTCCTACATTCGAACCATCAAACCAAACGATAACAAATCACCGTCGGAGTACAATGTCGCCAATGTCGTCCATCAGATCAAGTATCTTGGTTTACAAGAAAACGTCAGGATTCGGCGAGCAGGTTTCGCCTATCGTCAGACGTTCGAGAAATTCGTTGAACGATTCTACCTCCTTTCCCCCAAAACTTCCTATGCTGGCGAATATACTTGGTCCGGCGACGCTCAATCCGGTGCACGCCAAATTCTGAAAGACACTAGTATCCCACCAGAGGAGTATCAGATGGGCGTCACGAAAGCATTCATTAAAACCCCTGAGACGCTCTTTGCACTGGAGCATATGCGAGACCGATATTGGCACAACATGGCTACCAGGATTCAACGAGCTTGGCGTAACTATCTTAGATATCGGACAGAATGCGCTATTCGTATTCAACGGTTCTGGAGGCGAGTCACGGGCGGACTTCAATACATCAAGCTCCGCGATCAAGGCCATAAGGTCCTAGGTGGAAGAAAAGAACGGCGGAGATATAGTTTGGTCGGGTCAAGAAGGTTTCTCGGTGACTATCTTGGTATTGGCAACGCTGGCGGCATGGGAGATGTCATCAAAAGTTCAATCAACATTGGCAGTAGGTTACCCCCCTCACACCAGCCGCGATTTAGTCTAACGGTTTTAGGCGGTGATAGTGTTCTTTATTCATGCCGATGCGAGCTCTTGGTGACTAAATTTGGACGCTCAAGTAAACCGTCTCCTCGACTCTTGGTTTTGGTAAGCTATGTCCCTTCATTGCTACTCCATTCAATGCCTAACATTCCATTCTCAGACTTCGCGCAATGTTTACATTGTCGTTCAAAAATACGTCAATAACCAGCTTAACATATTGGCGGAACGGGTCATCCCAATTGGCGCTATCAAATTCGTCAGCACTTCGAATCTAAAGGATGACTGGTTTTCCATCGGGGTTGGTGCCCAGCAAGAACCTGATCCACTTCTCAGCTGTGTCTTCAAAACGGAGTTCTTCACCTATCTCACTAATGCCCTCCGTGGCCAGCTAAATTTGAAAATTGGAGAAAGGCAAGTTTTGAATGTTTCTCTACTATTATCTATACACTAATGGCTTTTTTAGCATCGAATATAATAAGAAGCCTGGTAAACTAGCTACTGTGAAAGCAGTAAAGGACCCATCAGTGCCCCGCGACGATGTGTATAAAAGCAGCACCATCCGTACTGGGCCTGGGGAACCAGCCAGTTCAGTTTCCAAGCCTACTCCAAAACCAAAACAAGTGGCCGGTAAGCCAATCACCAAAGGCAAACTGCTCCGACCTGGCGGACCAGGAGGTGGCCCATCGAAGCTTGCCTCTCGCCCTAAACCCGCCGTTCAGCATCTTCCTGAGAACCCACGTGCCGCAAAGGAACCCGCCGGCGAAAAGTTCAGACCGGTAGCGCAGCCAGTTGCTGCGGTTGCACAATCGCATGCTCGAACCAATTCAGGATCCCAAAATAGGCCCCCGCCTCCTCCTCCACCCTCCCAGCCTCCCGCGCCAAAGAAAAATAGCGCCAAGGCTCTCTATGATTTTGACAGTGGCAGGTCCAATGAGTTACCGCTTAGGAAGGGAGAAATCGTGCAAATCGTAGCCAAGGAAGCTAACGGTAGGTTCACATTCACGGGTTACATGTCTCTAACCACTACTGACTTTGCGAAATAGGCTGGTGGCTGTGTATGAATATAGAGACATCAGTCCAGGGATGGGCTCCTGAAGCATACCTCGAGCCAGTCGCAGCACAAGCTCCGTCGCCTCCTCCGCCCCCTCCACCACCAAGCTTTCCGCCGCAATCCAAACCTGCAGTGACAAACAATACACTGCAGAATGGACCGTCGCGCGTCAACGGAGCGGCAGCGAAAGCCAAACCCGCACCACCCGCCCCTCCGGCTAAGCGCCCAAACATGGCCCGCAAAGCTGTTCCAGCAGCAGCGCCTCGAGACAGCGCAGTCAGCATGAACTCACACGAGTCCCCAAGTGGTAGCGGCCGTGCAACTCCAAGTAGCGTCAGCAATGCAAGCCTTGCCGGTGGTCTAGCGGAAGCTCTGAGAGCCAGGCAAAGCGCCATGCACGGAAAGGACCAAGACGACGATGATTGGTAGACTCTTCTTGATTTGGAATGGGTTTCGATCTCGGTTTCACTCTCCTATTGCAATTTCCTGGAAGAATGTCATGCTGGATGGTGCATTTTCTGAGATATTTGTTGGTGCTTTTAATCTGCTCCTTGTGCGATTTGCATACATTGATGAATCGTGTACTTAGAGCTGCTTCGTATTCCCCCATGCCTTCAGTTTTTTGCCTTATTTTCAGTTCTGCTTTTCGATTGATCTTGTCCGCCTACAAATTTACTGTTTGTTTTTTGTTTTTTGATTTCAGCGAAACTCTTCAGTCCCAGGAGACAGGATTGCTAGACAATGCTCTGTTCCTCCAGCTTGCGTCAGAGAATCTATTATTTCCCAGTACACCCATCACCAGCTAGTTAGTTAGCCCGAAATTTTCCGCGACGTTGTAAATACGAATGGACAAGCTTCTATGCACAGCCTCTCCTCTCTCGTCATCGTGATCGGGCCATCGGGATTGAGCGCTGTTTCTCGGATGAATTTTGAGCCCGATCCCCCCGGCCGCTAGTCCGTTTACGGACTACGAGGCCGTTGGTTTAGCCGAGCCCGACCGACTCTTCCTCAGCGCGACCACAGCAGTCTTGCTGGCCTGAGACGAGAGCATAACGACATGGCTCGTGTTCGGTGATCCTCATCGCACTCCCAGACCCGGAATCCAAGGAGAACTTGAGCCCAGCGGCTGATTTCATGACTTCTGCCCCCGGCCCACCTGGATACAAGCAGCGAGATTGGGGAGTTCATCCATGAATGATGGATGGACTAGAAACAGTCATTTTTGATCCCTGGCGGGTCAATTGTTTTCAGCAGAATTATGCTGCCTGGCCGGCCCTTACTTCTAGCGAGCGCCCTATCGTGAAGCACGCAAGAATAATTGGCCCGCTCTGGACAAATTTGCTGCCCGTTACTCAATCCTGTTCAAAAGAGGATTGAATGCGTCTTTCAGCCCTTCAAGTCATATATAACTATGTCGTGAGAAGGGCATTTTCTTGATCTGATTTGATCAGTTTAAATCCAATTCAACTGCCTCTCAAAACCTGAGGCATTCTTTCTTATCGAGCTTTTGATCATTGTCTAGACCAAACAAAAGGATTTCGTGTCTTTGAAGCCTTGTATCTCTTTCTTACCTTTTTGGTTAAAGGCGTTGACGATCCACATCAATTACTATAGGCGTTCCTAACCAGCACTCTTCAGACGAAATACAATATGCTTGAAGAGAACCCACAGAACTCCGGGCCGCTAATGAACAACCAAAAAGACCCGGGAATGTTGGACGGCACGCCAAACTCAGCCGGAGCGTCGTCGACAGGATCGCTCAAAGCGGATGACGACTTGAAGGATTTTAAAGTCTCAACTCGATCATGGCTTGTCTTCTTGACTTTAGCGGTTCTCACTCTAATGGTGGCCCTTGATGGAACTTCGATCTCGGTTGCGCTGCCAGTGAGTGTCCAATTACTATTACCGACTGATTATCCATTGCTGATGCCGGGTATCAGATCATCGCGTCCAAATTACGCGGAACTGCCATTGAGGCTTTCTGGAGTGGGACATCATTTCTTCTCTGCTCAACCGGTAGGATATATATCCATTATTTGCTCGCGACATTTGGACTAACCGACTGATTGTTAGTGTTTCAACCAACCTTTGCATCGCTATCGAACATCTTTGGCCGCAAACCCCTGATTTTGATTGCAATTGTCTTTTTCCTTGCCGGCACTCTAGTTGCTGGTCTCTCAGAAAACTTCACTCACATGTTGATTGGGCGGTCAATTCAGGGCGTCGGTGGCGGTGGCCTGATCGCGTTATCTGAAATAATCGTCACAGATTTGGTCCCATTGAGGCTCCGGGGCCAGTATTTCGGTATCCTCAGTGCCATGTGGAGCGTGGGATCAGTGACCGGGCCGATCTTGGGTGGAGGATTTGCTCAGGACGTTTCCTGGGTAAGTGACTGATATAGCGGTTGCATTTTCGCCAACCCTGCTGACAGTTGATCTAGAGATGGATCTTTTATATCAACTTCCCGTTCATCGGCTTCGGCGTGGCTTTTGTGCTTCTCTTCCTAAAGCTCAACTTTATCCCATCATCGCTAGCGGCAAAACTCCGTCGCATTGATTACATCGGTACCGTGATCTTTGTGGGCAGCGCAACCTCCTTCCTGATTCCAGTGACCTGGGGAGGAGTGATGTACTCATGGGATTCATGGAGGACCTTGGTGCCACTGATCATTGGCGCAGTTGGCTTGATCGCATTCTTCTTATACGAAACATATTATGCAGCTGAGCCCATGATCCCCATCACCATCTTCGCGACCCGCACTGCTATCGTCAGTTATATCGAAACCGTCTTACACGGACTTGTCCTCTGGTGCGGGCTGTACTTTTTGCCGCTCTACTTCGAGACAGTCAAGGAATACTCCCCGGTCATTTCCGGCGTCAGTTTATTCCCCTTGTCATTCACCGTCGCCCCCTCCGCCGTCGTCGTCGGCATCGTCGTCACCAAAACCGGCCATTTCCGCTGGTCCATCTGGGCCGGCTTCCTCTTCGCAACCCTCGGCCTCGGCCTCTTCTGCGCCCTCAAACCCAGCACAAGCATCGCAGGATGGATCTTCCTCACCCTCCCCGCCGGCCTGGGTCTCGGCATGCTCTTCCCATCCCTGGGCTTCGCAATCCAAGCGTCCGCTCTCCCGGGCCACATGTCCATCGCCGTCGCAATGTTCAGCTTCTTCCGCGCCTTTGGACAAACCATCGGCGTCGCCATCGGCGGCGTCATCTTCCAGAACCGCATGTATGCAAACCTACTACGGTATCCTGAACTCGCACCGCTCGCGAGCCAGTATAGCAAGGATGCGGCTGGCCTGGTGCAGGTTGTGCGCGCGATGCCCGCGGGCCCGGAGAAGGATCATTTGAAAGAGGCGTATACGGATAGTCTGCGGATCGTGTTCGCGGTGTGCACTGCGGTGATTGGGATTGCGGGCCTGTTGAGTTTGTTGACGGAGTCGTATGATTTGAACAAGGGGATTGATCCGGAGCAGACGATACGGGAGTCGAAAACTGGGGATGCGGAGGCTGTGACGAAGCATTGATGGACTTGATGACTGCCCTCGGATTCTGTTGGATGTGGGAAGGACGTGTGGACAATTCGCAGGACTATCGCGGAACGAATTTGTTTTTCTCTCCTCTTTTGATATTGCAAACTCTTGCATTTGCTGGCGTTGAAAGTGAAGTTAGATTTTGTCGTCGCATGATAGTTGGTGATTTTTCTGCAAATAGACAGCTGCGACGAAGTTATGTAGATATAATTACTCCGTATGTATATCAGTTGATAATAGTGATGATGGTTAGATATATCCTTTATGTTTTCCAAAAACCAAGGAATCATCACCTTGCAGGGAGAGCAATAAACGGAGCCCACCAAGCTCCCCAACGCCAAACGGTCATATCCAGGTTCAATCTTTGTTCATTAATTAGTATTCTCCTTTTTCTCTCTAACTTTTCAACTTTGTATTGGCGAGTTATTACTTTATGTCAAAATATCATCCCAAGCCACAGCACCCAGAATCCTGCAAAACAAATGGAGCAAAAAAAAAAGAGATAAAGGAGTCAATCAGGACATATCTCGAGCTTGAGCCTAGCGGAATATCAGGGCCAAGAAGAACGCTCAGTCAGATATAGTGAGAAGGACAAAAAGGGAAGGTCTGCGGAATATGCATTTATGCCGAAAAAGAAAACCGTATGTGCATGTCGAGGATTAATCATTAAGCAGCGAGTAAAGGGGAATATAGGGAGCGAGGATAAGGAAAGGAGAACGAATCCAAAGTGGACCGCGGGATGATGGGAAATCTTGCAGGGAAAACGGCATGACATTTGTAGATCAAAGGACGTTTAGCTGTCAGCAGATGGGAAGGGGTTTTGTGAGTTGTGGGAAAGCTTCGGGCTGCAAAATTAAGAACAAAAATACGTCTCTCATATTTTGAGTATGCGAAAGTATGCATCCAGAAATACTCCAAGTCCAGGTCAAAAGAAATGATGGGCATGAGGGAAAAGTGCAGTCGCCGAGTGAAACTTGGGTGTTTTAGATGCTGTGTGACGCTGACGAATGCACGCTGCTTCTGACCAAATAGGGGCAGACGGCCTTGTCGAGTGAAATAGTTGAAAAATTAGAAAATGCCAAATTTTTTGCCCTTGCTTTTATCATCTATCAAACAGTTAGAAATCATACGAAGGCAAATAGGGAGTGACAAACAGTGGGGAACTTACTGGGTGAACCGTCGGACTTGCCAGCCTTTCCATGGTTCCGCCTCGCCGCTGACTTGGGATCTGCCCCGGATGCAGCAGCTCTAATCGCGGCAATGCGGTGTTTGGCACGTTCATCACCATGATCAGCTGCGCGAACGTACCACACGTTGGCTTCAAGAGGATCACGCCGACAGCCAATGCCCATTTCGGTGAAGTAGCCCACTGCATACTCTGCTTTCGCAAGTCCTATAGTTAAAAAAAAGAAAAGAAAATCAGTATCTATGCGGTGTGAATGGGGATTTGAGAAGCGCTCACCGCATTCGGCCGCCTTTTTCGCCCATTCGTAAGCTTCGTATTCATCTTTTTCGAGCATCGGTTCGGCTCCGACCATAAACCAGGCGCAAAGGGCCATCATGGCCACTGGATGGCCTAGTTGGGCGGCTCCCGTGTAAAAATGAACGCTGAGCGCCGGGTCTCGTGGACAGCTTAATTTTCCATGCTCATATGCATCCCCAAGACGGTAATTGGACTCGGCATGACCAAGCTCCGCAGACTTGGTAAACAGTTGTGCTGCATAAGACTCATCTTGGAAAACGTCGTCGCCATACCCAGTCTCATGGAGAAGTCCCAGCTCATAGGGTCCGGTATTGTATTGGAAATCAGCCGACTCCGTCGCTCGCTTCAACCAAGTGATTCCTTCTCGATAGCGTTTGCCCAGTCCCATATCCCCTTTTAGACATGCCTTTCCCAGTCGGAGCATGGCACCAGGGTGGTTTTTCGATGCCGCTTGACGGTAGAATTGAACTGCCTTGGCACCGTCTTTCCTGCTTCCCCAACCGAATTCATAACAGAGCGCAGCACGGTATCCGGCTTCCGCATGCCCATGCTTACTTGCAGCAACAAACAGAGGAAAAGCTTTATCGTAGTCTGGTTTTCCTTTATTAAAGAGGCCGGATGCATAACCATCGCCAAGGTAATATTGAGCATATGGATAGCTTCGGTCAGCCAAGCGCTGTAGAATTGCTTTGGCTTCTCGTAACAATTCCGCTTTAGAAATATCCGAACCAATTTCCTGCTGTTTGGAGGTTGCTGGTGAATCAGGTCGAGAACCTTCTTGGGATGCATGGATCATGAAGACAGCAAACTCATATTGCGCTCCTGAATCGTTGGTTTTCTTGACATTAGCCAAATACATCTCGAACGTCTTCTTATGGCTTAGTAGTGAAGCACTATTTCCGACAGAGGAGCGCAAATGGGCGTTACTAAGTACTGCGGGCGCAGGGGGTGGCTGTGGGTACGGTACATTCATCAAGTCGACAAAGGAGAGAGGCCTGGTGTCCGGAGAAGCGGCCGAATGGGAGGATACCGCGCGCGCGTGGCCATATGGAGAGAGTTGCAGGGATCGTGTTCGACCTCTGCCATCAGAGTATGTGGAAGCTGGCCGCGGAACCGCTAAACCGCCTGGAGTAAGGTAGTTTGATTGTCCTCCGGTGGAAGAGGAATCAGAAGTTGATCTCACTGTGCTTTTTGATCCCCGATGGCCGACACGGTCAAGCAAATGCTCCTGGAAAGGTTGATGGTGGTACTGTAGAGGCTGATAAACTTCGGGTTCCTGGGGATGCTCAGGGAAGCTTTCCATGCTTTCTCTGCTTGATGATCTCCGGGAATCAGCCTCGCCACTGTGGGTGTCCATATGCGACAAAGCATGTTGCATTCCATTCTGGACGAGTGAATCGCCCCTGGGAGGGATATTTGATTTGCCGTTCATCGGCCTGTGGTAATCTTGCACGTATTGGTTCTCGTTTTGGTATAAGGAGCTTCGTCGCGGAGGATACCCCTGGTACTCGAAATTGTCCGCTGAGCCCTGGGATAATCTCAGGTTTCTTACGTCTTCAACAAAGGCAGACGAAGCTTCGGGTATGACAGAGGCATCGTCAATTCTCACTGGGGAGACAGGTGAATGATGCATGACAGCAGTCTCGTGAGCATCCAGCCCAGGAACCGAGATTGGCTTCCTCTTCGGCATTTCAGTGAGCGAAAGTCTCGAGACACGTTTGGCCGAACTTGTGGGTGACGAATTGGCAATCGGAGGGGGACTCTGTTCTGCAGAAGGGAACGGAGGCGATGATCTGAGATAGACAGGTGCGGGAGGGGAGAGGGGAGCTTCTAGCTCTGCGATTTGGCTCATGGTGAAAGGGGTCTTGTGGAGAACTGTTCTCTAGGACTGCTGTTAGTCTAGAGTTCTATATTGTTTGCCGGATTCAATAGACAATGCTCCAGATGGGACGAAAACTCAACAGAGGTAGAGCCAATGAACCACAGAAAGAAAATTTTTATCAAGCAACGTACAGCAGGCGTGAAAGGGAAATAATTTTTCAAAGGGTTTGGTTTGAACAAGGGATCCTCATTTCACAGCCAGTGAATTGGAAAGCGAGCGGCAGTATAGGAGCGATTGGACAGCCAGTACGCCAGCAGAATATCAGGAAATGAGAGGGCCGGGCAGATGGGCTGTGATCTTCAGTCTGTCCCTACAACGTCATCCGGGAGCGTCGATGCAGAAGATGGGAGCTGCCGTGGAGATCTTCGTACAACTTCCAAGCCCCAACCACGGCAAGTTACAGCACACTTCGCGGGTGGAGAGTCTTATCCGCAGGGAGAGTGAGTAGCACGAGGGCTCAACGGGCGAGTGGTTGCGGTCGATATCAGCCTCAAAGGACGGGTCTTCAGTATCCTCCGCCAGATGCACAAATTCGAAGTTCTTGGGACGGGCGAATTGCGATTCGGGAACAAAAGACCGGAATACGAACTGCGGAGTGACGCAACTGGGTAACGACTGTAGGCACAACGAAAGGTACCTGCTCGAGCAGAAGACGATCAATAATGCGGGACTTGGACGGTCACAGAGGATTGCGAATCAATGGGCCACAAAAAAGAATGGAAGAGCCAGGTTTGGAGGTGGAGTTGGCTGACGAAGATCAAGACACCGCAACACAGGCGGCTGGGGGAGAGAGAGAGAAAGAGGGGACGGAGGATTCGGGATTGGGGGTCTTTTGGGCTGCACGGACTGGCACGTACCTCAAGAGAGCCTGTCAGCGAAGCATTGGAGGAGTGGTAACGACCGCAGCGAGGAGTGGGCGAGGACTGCAAGATATGAAGGAAGAGCAAGGAGCGCGGTCGACGTTGTGCCGGCTGGCGGTGTTGCTTTTTCTTCCCGCCTGCACACACGAAACTGCGGCTCATTCAGTCTGGATCGCAGAGAAAACAGGAGAGCGCAATGCGGACTGGATCGATCTTCCATTCAGCTCCTTTCTAAGCCTAAACCGGGGCTCCATCTCTCCCAGTGGCTTGGGGGGCGCTTTTGAGGGCGTCTATGCCGTTCCCAGTCTAGAGGGCTCCGGTTATTACCACGGCGTGCGGGCTCCTGACCGTGGGAACACGGACTCTGTCGTCGATGATCAATTGGCTAGTTACGTGCCAGGTCACGATGATGCATCAGCGCAGTGCAGTTGATGGCTATAAAACTGTCTATCTACTCTGAACTAACAATTGCGTTCGCATCAAGAGAAGTATGTACGTCCCAAACCTCAGCCGCAATCCGAGGCGGTCGGCACGCTTGGGACCAAATTCGAGGATATTTCGCTAAGCAAAAATACGTGGAGGAGGCTGTGTACCAGAACGATCCGGTCGATTGGGTGCAGTAAACGATGTAGTATCACCATGAGCAAAGTGCGTGTCTATTTGAGCCCGCCGGCGATTTAGCACGCGAGTTGCCATCGAAACCACCCGGCCACGTGCACAGAGATGGGATTCCAACCAGGCCGGAGTGACCGTGTTGGCGCTTTCATTAACCAAGGGATACGAATGGGTGCGCTGTTGCCCCGGGCATGCTACTTGTCTGTTCATGGCCCCTCCGGATGTTGGTGGCATGCCTCCTGACATCCGGTACCGCGCGCAAATGAGTGAGACATCGTGACCCTGGTTGTCAGAGAGCGGTTCCATTCACGCTGGCATCGGGTGCTCCATGGTGATTCGTGACCAGAGCCGTTTCGACATCGGCATCACTCCAGATCTCCCGCTCGAAGGCTTCCATTTGAGCCTCAACTTTCAAGCCACCGCGCTGTTGTCCTGAATCGCCAGTTCACGTACGAAGAACGATACGAATCAGCGCAAAGCCGTCGATGCGACTACAAGGATTCTGCAGTCTGTTAGGTGAACTAACTAGTTAATCTAATCGTTGGGCACTGATCCTGCGCGCGTGGAATTCCTCTTTTGCCTGAGTGGAAATTGATCCCCTCCATGTCTGTTGACTCCAGACGACGAACCTTGAAGTTTGGCTGATGAATATCTGCTGGGCCCGACAGAGTTTTGGCACGAACCTCTCTTCATTGCTGACGATCTTGGATGAAGTTCTCTCTCGACAGGGAATGAGTTTGTCACCTGCTCTGGCGGTCAACTGGGTATCCTCGGGACTTGGCAAATCCGCGCCAGACGAGGGTAGGAGTTTTTCATCATTGTCGCTGTAGATGCATTTATTGTATTCCAAGCACACTGATATATATCTGTTGTATCTATAATCTCGCTTCTCCGTTGACCTCATTGCTACCCCACCATCCCAGTGCGGTAATCCGGGTTTCCGCTGTCCGGTTCCACGTCTCGCAGCGCCCGTCACGGCCTGTATCTTGAAACTTACTCCCCACTGCCGCCGGCGGGCGGTCACGCAGAGAGGCCTGCCATTGGACCCCGGTTGCGTACGGTATTACAGTCTTTCCACTTACCCGCCCTGGATCCAGCAGAGCTGTCGCCATCCAATCAGATCACAGGTCTGAGTCTAGCCATAAAATCTACTCCTGTTGATTGGCCAATTTCTGCCAAGCCTTCCCAGGCAGGACTAGTGTCTTTGGTTGTCTGAGACAACAGAGGGAAAGATTACCGTGCAGTATTGTTTTGGTATCAATGCCCCTTGTTTTTCTGTTCTGGGCAACACAAAAGGCATCACTGGACTTGCAAGACCGCCTTGCCTCTCTCTCTCTCTCTCTCTTGTCTCGCTCACACTCGCTATCGCTGTGCCTGAGATCAGGAAGACTGGGCTCGCTTGGTTCTTCATCTGCTCTCACCACTGCTCTCCAGTGGCTTCTCCATTCACTTTTGTTTTTGTCTGTTTGCTTCTTTCGTCCCATCTCAGGTTGTTTGTCACTCGCTAACCCACGCTACTCGTCTCCCTCCTTTTCACCAACCACCCGCTTTGCCTCCTCGACCTTCTTTCCCGGCCTCCGCCGCACCTCTTGATCTCTTCTCCTACTGCTCTTGACGACGTCGCAGTCAATCGCTATCTAATACTCGACCGCTCTATCGCGCCTCTTGGCTCAAGAGTTCGCCGAGACGGCACACGATCGCTTTTGCATTTGTCTGCATAACGTGCGGTGCATGGCTGGGCTATAATTGATCAAACTCCCCGAATACCTCCCGGGAGGACCGTCGACTCGTTCGAGATATCGGGCAATGTGAGTGCGCCCCTTTTCCGGCCAAAGATTCAATCGCGCAGCACGACATTGAACTCTGCGTTGACGGGAAAACCCTTCCAGTTCAGCTGCGCAGTGGCATCATGTCGCTTCCTCAACGGCCTGGGCGGCCCGAACTGTCCCAACAGCCATCGTTTCGAGATTCTTCATACCATCGCCGAAGACATGATATCGAATCAGGCGGATACAGCGACACCCCCGCCAGCCCGGGCTCGCAATCGCGTCGAAACCAGGGCTTTTTTTCCACCGGGCAAGCCTCTCCATCTTCCCCGCGAGAACATGACCGAATGGTATCTCCCGACTTGAATCGTAAACGCAGTCTGATCCGGCCCGAAAGAACCCGCATCGGCCGCGACCACCCCAACTACCATTACCGCCAGCATGCCCAAAATATGCCCACCTATCCATCAACAACGGGCAATGAACCTGTCATGGAAGACCCTACTGAGGCGGAAACCGTCAGCACCGGAAGCACAGACACAAAAAGCTTAAAACGCGAAAAGGGCAACCCCAGCATGGAATATGAGGCACCTCGTAGGGCTAGGCCAGGCCCCCCAGTTTCCAGTCAGAGCCAGGCCAACGTACAGCGAAAATTATCGCGAAAGCTATCCAGGTCCCAAAAGGAAAACGAGAGAAGGCGCCAAAAAGAATTAGACGCAATTCGACCTCCTAGTCTCTGGAACGTGTACTGCGCCATGATAACCTTTTGGTGTCCTGATTTCTTGCTAAAATGCTTCGGGATGCCGGCCAAAGCCCAACGAAGAGCGTGGCGTGAGAAAATGGGTCTTATCAGCCTGATTCTTCTTATCTGTGGTTTCGTCGGTTTCCTGACCTTTGGCTTCACCCAGGTTGTTTGTGGAAATCCAGCCACACGGTTAAAGGTTAATCACGTCGACTCAGGCTATCTAATTATTCACGGCAAGGCATATAACTTGGTCGAGTCCACGCATCCTGCTGCCATTGGAGTTCCTGGCGGTTCAAATGTCCTTTTCGACCTGACTGAGAAAAACGGAGGCAAGGACGCGAGCTTCTTGTTCCAGAATGTTAATGGCGAGTGCAAAGGGCTCATCACTGCTGTCGAAGGCTCTGATATTCCTACGAATTCCGAACAAGAAATGGGCTGGTACTTTCCATGCTCGTTACTTAACCAGGATGGCTCGAGTAAACCAAATTTTACCGCGCCGCGTTACGTCGGATACTCGTGCCACACCACCCCCAAGGCCAGAAACGCACTCTACAGCTTGGACAGCTACGGTGATGTCTACTTCACCTGGGACGACGTGAAGAACAAGTCCCGCAACCTGGTGGTCTATTCGGGCACTGTCCTCGATTTGGACCTTTTGGCGTGGTTCAATACTAGCCAGGTATCATACCCATCACGATTCGACGAGCTGCGAAACAACCCAGACTTCAAAGGCGTGGATCTCACCCATATGTTCCAATCCGGCTCAGAGAAGAAAATTGCAAAGTGTCTATCAGAGATCATTAAAGTGGGATCTGTTGACACCGAAACCGTTGGTTGCATCGCATCCAAGACCGTGTTGTATATCTCCTTGGTATTCATTCTATCCGTTGTCGGGGCGAAGTTTCTCCTTGCCTTGACCTTCCAGTGGTTTATTGCGAGACGGTTTGCTGCCCCCAAAACTGCCATTGATCCTCAGTCGAAGGAACGGAAACGCCAGATTGAAGACTGGAGCGATGATATTTATCGTCCCGGCCCGCGCCTGAATGATCCTGCTGCTCCGGGTTCAAAACGTGGAAGCAACCTGTTCCCTACAACGTCCCGTTTCTCCAGCCCTTATGTCATGGGTGCTCAAAAACAACGACCCGCGCCGACAACAATGGCAAGCCAAAATGCCGGCAGTCGTCTCAATGCACCATCTGCCATGTACAAGGCTGGCCAAAATTCTAGTCAAGCTACCCTGAGCGTTGAGCATCTCAACCGCCAGAGCGTCGCAGCCAGCCGATCGAGTCTCATGGTACCAGACCCGCGTTACTCCACCATCAGCGACATTGAGGGCAAAGGACCAGCTGAGTTGATCCATGAGGCGGTTGTGCCCCAGCCACCCCCTGAATGGCAACCTTTTGGCTATCCGCTAGCTCATGCTATCTGTCTTGTCACCGCCTACTCCGAAGGAGAAGAGGGTTTGCGTACTACATTGGATTCTATTGCAATGACCGACTACCCCAACAGTCATAAGACCATCATTGTTATTTGCGACGGCATGATCAAGGGCAAAGGGGAACATCTTACCACTCCCGAAATTTGTCTCAGCATGATGGGCGACTTTGCTGTCTTGCCAGAAGATGTCCCAGCCTTCTCCTATGTTGCAGTTGCCAGCGGGTCGAAGAGACATAACATGGCCAAAGTATATTCAGGCTTCTACGATTATGGCGAGAACTCCATTGTTCCACGCGAAAAGCAGCAACGCGTCCCCATGATGGTCATTGTAAAATGCGGCACCCCAGACGAATCGAAGAATAGCAAACCCGGCAACCGAGGTAAACGCGACAGTCAAATTATTTTGATGTCGTTCTTGCAGAAAGTTATGTTCGATGAGCGCATGACTGAGCTTGAGTTTGAAATGTTTAACGGATTATGGAAGATCACCGGCATATCGCCCGATTTCTACGAGATTGTTCTCATGGTCGACGCTGATACCAAGGTTTTCCCGGACAGTTTAACGCATATGATCTCAGCAATGGTTAGCGATCCTGAGATTATGGGTCTTTGCGGAGAGACAAAGATTGCGAATAAAGCTCAGAGCTGGGTCACCATGATTCAGGTCTTCGAGTACTTTATCTCCCACCATCTTTCGAAATCCTTCGAATCAGTTTTCGGTGGTGTTACCTGCTTGCCTGGATGCTTCTGCATGTACCGCATCAAGGCCCCGAAAGGTGGTCAAAACTATTGGGTGCCAATTCTTGCCAATCCCGACGTCGTTGAGCACTACTCTGAAAATGTCGTTGACACCCTGCACAAGAAGAATCTACTTCTTCTTGGTGAGGACCGATATCTGTCCACGCTGATGTTGAAGACTTTCCCAAAACGCAAACAGGTGTTTGTTCCACAGGCGGTGTGTAAAACCACTGTGCCAGACGCTTTCAAGGTCCTTCTCTCCCAGCGACGTCGATGGATCAACAGTACGGTTCATAACTTGATGGAACTGGTCCTTGTTCGCGACCTTTGCGGTACTTTCTGTTTCAGTATGCAGTTCGTCGTGTTTATGGAACTTGTCGGTACCCTCGTCCTTCCTGCGGCCATTGCCTTTACGTTCTACGTCGTCATCATCTCAATTATCAAAAAGCCAGTGCAGATCATTCCACTGATCCTTTTGGCCCTCATCCTTGGTCTGCCAGCGGTCCTGATTGTTGTTACGGCCCATCGTTTGGTTTACGTCTTGTGGATGTTTATCTATCTCTTGTCTCTACCGATTTGGAATTTCGTCCTGCCCACGTACGCATACTGGAAGTTTGACGACTTCAGTTGGGGTGATACTCGTAAGACCGCTGGAGAAAAGACCAAGAAGGCCGGTATCGAGTATGAGGGTGAATTTGACAGCAGCAAGATTACGATGAAACGATGGCGTGATTTCGAAAAAGGTATATATTCGTTATAACTTATCAGTCTGGATAGTAGTGCTAATATTCTCGGTAGAACGTCGCTTGAGAACGGGTGCCGGTGGCTTCTCGCAGTCCGTGACTAATTTCGCACATTATCCACAACACAATTCCGTATATGAGTCTGACTATTAGATTTCTGGATCTGCGAAAGATTTTGCCTCCTTTTTTACTATGGTTCTTTTCTTCTGTCGATATATTTGGGTCTTTTCTTTTCTCATCCCGTCTGCACCTAAAAGAGCAGAGGCATCGTGTTTGGAGTCATTTTTTGGTTGTCACCATGCCTTCTTTTCCCTAATATAGTATTTGGGATGGTCTTTTTTCCTTATGATGAAACACACCCATATTTAAATCAGCAGGACTTGCTGAATCATTTGGAGTTTTTACTCTTCAAATCTAATCATACCCCCTTTTTTCCAACTTTATCAAAGGAACCTTTTCTACTTCAAAATTCTTTTGTCCATCAACGTATCACAAAAATTACCTATTACCCGCTCTCTCCCACTCTCCAGTCTCATACCTTTCCCAAGTTGCATTTTTGTCCCTGTCTGTGGAATACGTCTCGGCCCTGTTTTCCTTGTCATGAGCTTTTGTTGGTACTTTACACCGTGTAAATCAAAGCGTGCAATGTATTGTATATCCCGCTATACCAATGGCCTTTGTTGTTTCCAGATTATATCTCACGTATTGGCACTCCCTGCTGGCCTAGTGTCTTGATAATCTGGGAGAGAAGGTTGTACTAGTTAGTTATACATGCACCTTCGCCATTCCTACTTCCACTTTGTATCTCCTTCTCTAGTCTGTTGTTTGTCTTCAACCACCTCACTCATCACCCCATTCAAGGTATCAAAAGAGGAAACAATGAAAAGAATTGTTACAAGCTTGAGCTGACAAATCGTCCAAACAAAGGAGATAAAAGAGCAGTGATTCTTTATTTTGTGCTGAGCTTGCAATGTCAGATCGCTCTCTGGGTTTTGAACTACGTGCCCAGGGCAGAATGGGCATTATATGAAGACCATTACTTCTTCCCATTTAAATAACTGAAGCACTAATTCCGCCTGCCCACCATATGCCTCCACTGGAAACTTCCCACCTTTCGCTCAAGAGGCAGCAACCTGAGCATCCTTCAGTGCGTCACTTGAAGAGACAGCAACTTGACCGTTCTGCCTCAGCTTACTGGGATAAGTTGTCGACGATTTATCTAACCAAAGGCGCGCTAAGGGAGCATGACCGAAGAAACAGCGCTTTGAAGCAACTGCGAAAGCCTCACAAACCAGTTAACCACCAGCACTGCAGGCCCAACACTCGCCAGTTTGAGCAGGACGCGCGCCTGGAACTCGTTAGGCTTCCTGGGTTTTTATGTGACTGTTCGCCTACTCAGTTGAAGGAGATAACAAGATTCTCGAGATTGGGTGGTCCCGACCTATCTGATTTGAAGAATGTATGTAACTACAAACTACAACTCGGAGCCACTAACTAACGTGTGTTAGTATCCAGTTCCGATGAGCTCAAGGATGCCCAGCTCTCACTATAGCACAGAATCCCCTCCGTCATCTACCTCCAGATATACAAAGACAAAAACTTCCAGTACCTCACCCTATAGTTGGAACTTTCAGCAGAATCTAATCGACCACGGTGTTTATCCTGACGGATATGAATATCCTGATGGCCGAATACCTTCAGCACCAAATAATATAGAGGAGATACTAGAGCAATTAGCTCAGCGTCGGCCTTCCCTCTCTCCATCAAAGTTCTCCAATGAAGATTTCAGAAAATTCAAGCACGTGGACACACATGCATCTAAACAAAAGCCTGTCACAACCTCAGTGGTTCCCATTCTTGATGGCAATATCAGTGACCTTAAATGTGTTGGAGGGGGCTACCTGTTTGGAAATCTTGCCCCCTTAACTGATGGCACATTGGCTTCAGCCAAACCAGATCACTTCTATGGTGCGCGTCCTGAGCAGCTTAATTGACAAATCCGCAAAGATTTGAGTCATGATATTATACCATCAACACAGAATGATCTCCCAATGGCACCAAACTTCTTTTTGGAGGCAAAGGGACCTGATAGATCTCTGGCTGTAGCCACACAGCAGGCATGCTATGATGGCGCGCTGGGCACCTGTGGAATGCATGCTCTACAATCCTACCTGCTAGATAAACCAACCTACGATAACAATGCTTACACTATTGCATCAACTTATCAAGGTGGTCAATTAAAGCTATATGCCTCCCATATCTGCAAGCCAGACAACCCAGACAGCCATCCTGAATATATTATGACACAGCTCCGAACATTTGCCTGTACTGATAGTTCTGAGGCCTTTCGACAAGGAGCATCTGCCTACCGAAATGCTCGAGATTGGGCAAAGGGAAAAAGGGATGAATTTATCAGAGCAGCAAATGAAAGATTCCACAATGCCAACTCTCAATCTATGTCTACCCCCCAGCACCAGACTTCTGTAACACCCATCCTGGATGACTCCAACAACTCAACCAAGCCTGCTGGATATCAAGATGCTGCCCAATGGAGCTTTGCAGTTGAAGAAGAAGTGCCTCAGGGAAATCCCAAGGGTTGAGGATCCGCATCAGTGATAAAAGTCTGGTTGTGAATGCCAAGATACCAAGTCTGATCGGGCTAGATAGTTGTTATGGATTACTAGTTAGTTATTTTAGATTCAAATAAACAGTTTCTAAATAAACAGTTTCTTGGCAACATTTTGGGGATGGTTTTCAGCAGTTTCCCTGGACAGTTTCCTTGCATCTGACTATATGCTGAAATCTGTCAGACTACAAGACACAAGGTTAAAATGCAGTTCTAATGCCCGTGGCATTAGAGGATATTCTCTTTTGGCCTAGTGGCTAAGAGCTTGCATTTTTACAGTCCAAGAAAATCACTCATCGTTTGAAAACAACATGGCTCGTTCGCTTTATGAGCTGTTATCAAAGGGACAAAAAGTGCTGGTTAATGGGCGTCTGGGCTCATATCATGTTGTCAAAGCTTTAAACCAGAATGTGTTTCATGCTTATATACATGGGACCGACACTCCGTAAGTTCTACATGACTGTTAGCTTGGAGTATCTGACGAAATAGGCAGAGTAGTTGTAAAAACTGAGGGACAACCCGTCCTATACTTGCGAGAAACAGATGCGTATGAGTTCAAGTGTGTCCGCAACTCGCCATACATACGGTCGCTTCGAGAGGCGATTGCAAACGATACAGATAAATGCATGGTTATGGAGTGGATGGAAAGTGATTTATGGACCTTGCGTTTAAGACAGAATCTGTGTCCTTCCTTCCCAAAGATTGTTGCGAAATCGATCCTCAAAGCAGTAAAAGTATTTGAGGATATGGATGGTCAAGGTCCTGCAGTCCATACAGGTATATTATCTAGATAACGCATAATATATGGAGGCTAACTTCTTTAAGATGTGAATCCAAACAACATCCTTGTTTCAAATGTCGAGACAGAGTCTCCGATTGTCAAATTGGCTGACCTTGGCGGTAGTATGTCTCTACAGTCCAAAGCCGGTTCAATAATGTGCTTATATTCTTAGTGATCACCTCTAGTACATTTGATGCTTTCCGATTACAAGGCTTATCCATCCGGGCTCCTGAGATATGGAAGGGAGTAAAACCCACAACTGCTTGTGATGTATGGTCCGTTGGTGTCAGTGTAAGTCAAGACGTTCGTTTACCTTCATACTCGGCCGTGCTGACTTGTATTAGCTGGCGCACTTTCTTGCTACTAGAGCGCTGTTTGGTAATGTGGATCAAAATGCCCGAATCACGTCAGTCTCTCTTGAGACAAATCAAGCTGCATGGGCAATCGCCAAAATTATTCAGCTGATAGGGCCCCTGTCCCGAGATGAAAATCCAAAATATACTGAGGAATTTGATCTTGCAGAAGCTCTGGTGGACATGGGGATAATCAAAGTTGAATCTCTACATAAAGAGTTAACCAAGATGAATGTTCCGGAGGACTGCATTGAGTTTATCTCGTATCTCTTGAATCAAGATTATAAGAAACGGCCTACTGCAACGCAGGCGCTGCAACACCCGTGGCTTCGAAGCGTTGAGTCTTGCCCTTTGTCTTCATCAGAAAACAAAATATCTCCCAGGAATGCTCGTTCGACTTTGTAGGCAGTTGCCTTGATAACTTCAGGGTCCAATGTTTCCACAAGGCGCCTGTCTGTGACTTTGCCTCTTACAGAGATTTCGGAAGCAATCTCAAGGGGGATTTTCTTCGATCCCATGAAGAGGGCAAGTGAAGCCCTTTTATGTCTCTGCACAAAGACTGCAGCCTTGCTCTGGTCTAAGTGGCTGTATCCATGAAAGTAGTGAGATCTCAAGAGTTACGCGCAGTACAGAGTGTGGGTGACAGCGGAGACCTGACAAGACAAGCTCAGCCAGTTGTGGGAGTGGAAAGTGTCCACATATGGAGGCCAGCCCATGGAAGGCCTTGAAAGTGCCGCTGGATGGAAGTTTTGGAGATGAAAAATAGCACACTCTCGTTGCAGGTGGTCGTGCCCGCTTATCAGCGCGATATCTTTCACCCTCCCACTCAAAATAGTACCGTGTCTTTCCGTTTGACGTGCGTCCCGCCAGCGTCACCCCTCTAAGTATCAGATATGGAATAGAAGATGTTCCCGTCGTTGTAGACTCGAACCCGCCCCTTTCGGTCTGCAACCGGCATGGAAAGTTGCTGCGATTGACTTTGGCCGTAAGCTGGACTATAAGATTGGTCCTCACCGTACCTACATACATATGGCCACATCACCAGCTCACAGAAGGGAACTTCCCCCCGAAACATTGCTCTGAGACTTCTTAACTTTGATTCTACAACACTGAATTTTTACAACGAGGAACCCAGAGTCAATATAGCTACGGAGTTTTGTACATACATGCGTACATCAACTTCATCATGAAGGCATGGTTCGACGCATCGTGGATCGGGCGTCGCATCTCGTTTCCGGGACCACAGCACGCGGTTTGGGTGCTTCGAAAGAAACTTTCTGAAAACACTCTAACTTCAGAGAGCTTGGAGTGGGCAGCAGAATATTGTATTGCTTCTGAGGCTCGCGCCGTCTACCTCTGCTCGAAATGCGAAGGTCCTGGCCCAGACGAGGCAGTGGTCAAGATCTGGATGCAGTAATGTTCCCCCACAATTGTGCGCCCGGTTAACTAAGCTAATGAGTGGCACTGAAGGATACCAGTGAAAGGCTGGGAAGCTTACGGACCGAAAGGAGGAGTTGATATTGAGGATTGGGAGATTGGAGCCGAGCTTGGGTCGGGCCCGAGAGAAGAATTAGCGTTGAAGATACTGTCTTGTAACGGTTGCTCTTCGGCTCCACGCCTCTTAGCTTCAAAGTTAGAGACTCAAACCCGCGAAATGCCGGTCCCCGGCGGTTATCTATTATCTATATTGATGACCAAGCTCCCGGGTGACTGTGTCGAGTCGCTTAATGACCTCTCTGCTGCAGATTACGCAGAGCTGCGGGCTGCATTTAAAGAAGCATGGATGTAAGTCGACGGAGATCGCCATAACTACCTTGGCTTCCGGCTCAATGATGTTTTATTTAGGGAATGCCACGATTGTGGCGTGGTCAATCACGACCCCGATTCTCGGAATATACTTTGGGATCGTGAGAAAGGAAAGTGGTAAGTACACTCATCCATTCCTTGACATTATTTAAGTGCTCATTCTCGGAACAGCTATCTAGTCGACTTCGAAGATTATATTATACTACAACAAGATTACGGCTGGGAGGATTGGTTGTATATCATATGGGGGATCGGAACAGGTCTCCCACGCAAGCGAAAGAAGGGGCAAAAGCCGACGCTTCTTCAATGACTAGTTTTCTTGTTGGCACGCCTCTATCTCATCTCAATTTGAAGTCTTATGGATGTCAGGGAGGTCAAAGCCAGAGAATTATGTCCTTCTGCGCGTTTTTCTTTGGAAAAATACGGATGTTGTTGTTCTGATGGTGGCGAATCTCGAGTGACGATGAAATATTCTGCAAATAGTTTCAGGTCAGGTGCGTTTTTAACAAAATCTTTATCTATTCTCCTCGATGCAACCTCCATCTTGTTTCCCTGTTAGCTTGGATTCTAGAAGCTTAAAGTGCTCACTTCCCATAAAGACAAGCTTACAGATATTAAGTTGTAACCGCCCGTGAGTATGCTTCTTCAGTTACTGGTGTGTTCAACCAAAGGGACTAATCGAACAAACATGGCGGCTGTTCATTCCACCAATATATCTATTATCTCAATTGATGGATGAATGCTTCCCAGTCGCTAATCATGTTCAATGCTCATCTGCTTGTGGGTATATATATCCTATCATCCCATAAAACCAAGCAAAGTAGCAATGGAACTTTTAAAAAGAGTTAATGGGCACGTCCAGGTCCAAAAATGGAAACCGAAACGAAAAAAAGGTTTATCCGTCTCAATCCGGACCAAGCAAGTTTGCCGTAAAATTCTCCGAGGCGACCAAAGAGAATGGATTTTGCAGGGCGCTTAACGGGTTCGATGGTCTATAATAGGGGCGCAGAGAAGGGTTTCTTTTCTTGTCCGTTGTAGGACAAGTTTTGATCACGGGTCCGAGCAAGAGTCACGGACACAAGCGTGCATGCATCTCACAGCAGAGATCAGAATGAGGGAGTTGAATAGTGAACAGAAAGGCGGCCTCCTTGGGAGAGGAAAAGGACAAGGCAGAATGACCTGGTGGCAACACGGCCGGGAACAGGAGTTCCTCGGGTGGATTTTCCGAGGACATTAGATACATGGAGGGAAATTTCTCACAGATCTAGCGCCTGCGAGAATGTGAGAGATCGATTAACTAGTTAGTCGTAGTGGGGAGTATATTTCCAAAGGGCTGCTCTGGGATTGCAAGGCAAGGGATCAAGAACCAGAGTGGCATGTCATCGGGGGTGACCTGTCGCAAAAGCCAGCTAACGAATCCGACCAACTCGGGTCCAGGGGCTTTGACCGTTTGATCGACAGCACGAATTTCTGGAGCGAGGATATGCCCATCACATGGCAAGTTTGCGCTCCTTGATGTATGAATGTACATGGCTCCTTCGCGTGAGCTTTGTCCAGCGAGATCGGGACGAGGCAGGGCTGCTGGCATCGAGGGATACAGGTGCGACAGAGGTGAGAAGAAGCGGCCAATGAAGGGCCCCAGGCGAGCCAGAATGTCTGGTGTCCAGAAGCCACATTCTCGGGAAGAAACAGGTCGTCAAGCCTAAGATGTCGTGCTGCGTCAGAGCGAGTCGGGAGCAATCGCATTGCGCCGTCGTGGGCAACAGCTGCGGCTCAGGCAATGGACTGCACGTGTTGGGACGGGGTAGAGGGAAGAGAAGAGGGAAAGGAAAAAAAAGCAAGGAAAAAAAGCAAAGAAGAGGAAACGGAAAGGCAGTGAGGAGACGGGAGTGATGGATGATATTTGTCGTTTCTTTTTTCCCCTCCTGGATGCTGGAGAGATGGAGGACGATGCGAGGCACCGAGTTGAGTGAGCAGGTCTCTTGGCTTCCCAGAATGCCCTGATACATGCGCTGGGGTGCAGCTGGACCAAGTGAGCCCTGGAACGAGCCCCCGAGAGACGCCAGACCGAACCCCCCGGGACGCCCAGCAAGGGCCCCTGTGAGCCCGCCGTTGCTCGCGATTTCTCCTCGTCCCTTCTCGCCCTCCAACCCGCAAGCCATCGCTGAGAGCAAGAATCTCATCAGCTCCTTTGCTTTGCTTGGTTCCTCAACCTTTGTTTGTTCACTTGCACCCCGCCTCTGTTCTGTCATCTGTTCCGGACTCACTTTGTTTACTGGCAACTTGTTTCCGGAAGCACCACCACCACTGACCTGAACCTGGGGATTCGCCCTGACAGCCAAACAACACGCGTCCTTTTGGGATTCTTTGCTTCCTGGGCTTCTGTTCCGGAAGCAAACAAGCTTCTCAGGCAAGGATTCTCCTCACAGTGACGCCCCGCTCTTCCGGTCTGAAGCCATCTCCTCTTGTACCTCCAATATCACCTCACTTTCAGATCATCACCATCCTTTTTGTTTTCTTTTCACAGCAGCACCGCGTCTCTTCTTAGATTTGCTCTTGAAACAAGTGCCTCTCCCTGCTCACAGGAGCTTGTCACTCTTCCTTGTGACGCGTCAAATCTCTTCGCACCCTCATCTCGTGGAGGTGATTGGATCTCTTCTGATTCCAGTCACAGTACTCCAAAACTCCCCTGTTTCCAGATCTATCCGACTCTTCTCCTCCTCGTGGTTGGCTGCGCGATAGGTACGTTTCTTCATCCCGGGCGACCTCTTATTGTGTGCTGCTTACACAGTGTGTCCA